TGTTACTTCTTTTTTCCTCTATCTTTTTCTTTCCTGTATTGATTTTAGAAAGAGAGGAAGTGAGAGAGAGAGAGATAGGAACATCAATGAGAGAGAATATTGTTTGTTCCCCTCCTTCATGCCCCCCACTGGGGTTTTGGCCCACATCCTACGCATGTGCTTTGACCGGGAATCGAACCGGAGACCTCTTGGTTCATGGATCAACTCTCAACCACTGAGTCACACCGGCAGACACTGTTACTTCTTTTAATGCTCAAAACAACCTTGGAAGGTAGCCATATCTCAGTGGTTCTCAGTCTGGGCCGTTGCCCTCCAGCTGACACCTGGCAGGGTCTAGAGACAGTGTCAGTTCTCACATTTACAAGAGGCGCTGTGGCATCTGTGTGCACAGGCCAGGGGTGCTGGTAAACACCCTGGAATGCATTGGACAGCCCCTCACAATGCGAGTTATCCAGTCCAAAATGTGAATAGTGCTGAGGTTAAGAAATCCTGGCATATCTTAATCCCCATTTTATAAGTGCAGACACTGAGGACAAAGGAGATTAAGTATGTTTTCCTGGGTCAGAAAGCTAGTAAGTGATGGAGTTGGGATGTCAGCTCTGGCTGCCTGACTCTAAAGCCCATTGATGCTTGTAACTGTGCTGTACTGCTTCCTGCTACAGGAAAGATATAAGTGCCTTTAGAAATTGTATGTGGAGAGCACAATGTGACTGATTTGCATGTCATCATAGTAATCATAATAGAGAACTGAAAAGGCAGGTAAAGACTAGAAATAATTGATACCTCTGATTTTATAATGAGCCAGTATTTGGAAAACTGAAAGGTTTTAACTGTTTAGGGTCACTTATATACATTCTCAACCTTTCTGTCACTCTGTTGTGCTGTCTCATCAACGCAAGTCAAATTTACCAGGAGGTGGTAAATTTGGAAAACATGGGGATAAAGATTCTTCTACTCAGAAACAAAGCACAGATTTTGAAAAGTGGCTGTCTTATCTAGATTGTTTTCCGTTGACCCCTCCTTTTTGACAGCAGTTTGATCACTCCCCAACTCTCTGATTTATTTATTTTTGAAAAAATGTATTATTCATTTGAGTGGTTTCACTTAGCCAAGTCCAAGACTAGGTATCTCTGCCTAAGGCCATCATTACTTCTTGCATTTTCAATCTTCAGGGTCAATGGTTTCCCAGGAGATCCTGATGAAAGAATATTCTGATGGGGAATGAACAAAAGGCAGAGCAAGCCACTTTACACAGGACTCGGCAATATCTAAAGTATAAGGCAGATCACCTTCTTGGAGGGAGACAGCGGATACGGTGCAGGCTTTACAGGTGGACAGAACTGAGTTGGAATTCCAGCTCTACCACACAAGCTGTAACTTAAGAATTTTAAGTTTTAGTTTCCTCATCTATAAAATGGGGACAATAATGCTTGCCTCAGAATGAGGCATATGATAGGTATTCAATAAACATTAAAATTTGTTTAAGTCTAGGGCCTAAGGACAGGAAGTTGAATGAATCACATTCAACTTCAGTTCATTGTACATGATTCTCATGGGTCTATGCAAGTTCTATACTGTATTATGCTTTGCTTTCTCTTTCACTTCCCCATTCCCACTCTTATTCTTCTTCCTTCTACTGGTACTCAATTTATTTGTCTGCTGGATATCCTTGCATATATATGTTTACTTGAAAAACATTAGTATATACCTAGGTACATGAGTTACTAATATTTTAAAATTAACATGATATTTTGCCATAGGATAGATATCAATTTTTTCTTGCTTTTTCTTCATCCAATGCAATGTATTGAAGATCTGTTCTTGTTGCTAAATGTATCTCTAGGTCATTGTTTATGACTGTTGGCCTTGTATTCCACTCTGTGTATCTACCACATTTTACCCATTTATTGCCCCTTCTTATGGAACCCAAATAACTCATCACCTGTATGAACTGTGCCTTTACAACCTCAGCACAAACTTTTTGATAGACCCACAGTAGTATTTAATAAAATTCTACACATATTTATGATTACAATCATCTTTGAAAACTAGGAATAGAAGGGAGTGTCCTTAAAACGATAAACACTATAAACCAGGTATTCATAGTAAACACCAAATAAAATAAAGCTATTTCCCTTAAGATCAGGAAGAAGACGAGAATGTCAGCTATCATAGTGACTTTTAACATTGTACAGCAAAATTTGACTAACATGATAAGAAAAAAATAAAAATAAGAAGGGATGAGATAAAATCATTTGTAGATGATCTGATCACCTATATTCAAACTCAATGAAATAAAAAGACAAGCTATAAGAACTAAGTTCAGCAAACTTGACAAATAATATCAACTTACAAAAATAAATATATGTCTATGCAAATAGCAAATGAGAAAATATAAAAACAAGATACTGTTCACAATAGTAACTAAAACTATAAAATTACCAAAAATTAAACAAGACACAAGACTTTTATGAAAAACTAGAGGACATAAAGAGAACTTGAATAAATGGAGAAATTGTAAGAATGACAGTTCTTTCCAAATCAATGTATATATTCCATACAGTGCCAATTAAAAATTAAGCAAGATTTTAAAAGAAACTGACAAATATTAAAAAAATTAATATGGAGGAATGTAGTTTATGAATAAATAACTGAAAAAAATCAAAGAGTAAAGACTTGCTCCACCAGATTTTATGAATACTATAAAGAAATAATAATAAAAAGTAGTAAAGTACTGGTGCGGAGCAGAAATATGTAAGTAGAATAGAAATGGAAGGCACAGACCGGATCTAGGCATTTGGGGAGTTTCTCATTTGCTGGAGGTAGTTCCACAAGCCATTAGAAAAGCATGCACTGCGTAACAGATGACTTAGGAGGAAACTGGCTCACTGTATGGAGGTCAAGTTAGATCCCTCCTCACACCATATGCTATGTTTGTGTGTTTGTTCCTGAAGGATACAAGACATTCAATATCATTTAATGACTTGGTAAACTTTAGGGCAGGGAAACTTTTCTTTCAAAAAGACCCCAAAAGCACAAGTCATGAAATTAAAAATTGCTACATTTGACTACATCAAAATAAAGGATTTGGGTTCGATAAAGGACTTCATGGTCAAAATCAACAAGCGATAGACTGGGAGTAAATATTTGCAACGTTAAAAAGAAAAAAAAAAGTTTTGCCAAGTCACAAAGGAAACCGTGAGCGGCCCAATTTTAAAAACATCTATGTAGGTAAACAAACGAGTCACAGAAAGGAAAACGCCATGGTTTTCACGAGGATGAACAGGTGCTTACCCACACCAGCGAGCAGAAAATACAAACTGAAAACAGTAAGAGTGTGAGGCAACCTTACACACATAAGATGGGCAAAAACTAGAGCTAATGCCACATTTGGGGGGGGTGTCTGATAAAAAAAAAGGGCAGTCTGAGCCCCTGGCCACGCCCCCCTCACTGGCCACCCCTCCCCCGTGTTGTCCCTCCCCTACTGTGCGCCTCCCCCCATGTGCGGCTCCACCCCCACTGTGCGTTCTCCCAGGGCCCAGCCCCGCGTTTTGTGCGTGCTCCCCCACCCACGCACGAGACTCCGGAGCTTTGAGCCTAGGAGTCAGAGACCCACCGCCTCACCGCCTGTGGTCGCGGCCCTGCCATTTGGATGTCAAGAAAAAAATGCCCTAATTGATACTTCGTTGCCTTGGAAGTCACTCTGAGTTCGTCGGGAACATGAGTGGACGTGCGCGTGTTAGGGCGCGAGGCATCGCCCGCTGCCCCACGGCCTCGGAAGTGGGGTGCCCCCAGGGCCGCCTGGAGGTGTGTACCACGCTTCGCGGGCATTGTCTTGCTCTCTTAATGTCTCCTTCATGGACGTGGCCTTCCTCTGTATCTCTCTTCCTCCCTCCTAGGAAGCAGTAGGTTATCTTCTCTCTCAACTTTGAGCCTTTCCAGGGCTTCTCATACTGTTTCCTGTGGGAATCTTATCTGAGTAAGATGTTAATGTCGATATTTTGGCCAGTGAAGAGGACTAAAAATTGGAGGCAAGCATGCCGTGCTCTTCTGCTTTCTGAATTTTAATTGATTTAGGTTTAATGCTCTTGGTAAAAAAGTTGCTGTGCCTTCAGTAGTACCATTATATGGCATATAAGGTAATACGGTTCCTCTTGTTCATTCATGTATAAAAGTAAATAATCTCAGACACAGACAGAGTTTTGATTCAACCACTGTTTCTTGAGCAGCCACTGCGGGCAGGGCTCCTTGCTACACTTAGGCAACCAGAGTGAACTGACCAGCAAATCAGAAACTTGAGTGATGTCAGTACATGCTCTTAGTATTTGGAGTAATCTCTTAGATTGTACTCAAAAGTATTCAAGTGAGTAGTCTGGTCATTATGCCTTCACTCTCACGAAAAGTTCTCTTGACCCCATATAGATTTTTTAATAGGCCAAGATACATTTCTCTTGAACAAAGAGAGGTAGTTCCTGAAAAAAAAGAAAGAAAGAAAATATTTTTAAAAACACAGTATTAATGGTTCCCTTCACCTATTTTATGACCTAATTTGGAATAGTTTATTCAGGACAGTCATCATCTGAGCTGGTGACCCAGATCCTCTGGGCTCAGCTTATTTTCTTGCTTCAGACATGTTCACATTGGAGGCCCATGTCAGGGAAGCATGAGGTCCTGCTCATCTGTACGTCTTCCCTGTGATGAGCTCCCTGACTCAAGGACCTCATCTCTGCCTCCTTACACCTCCAAGATCTAATGGCTGTATCTGGCTCACAGTTGGTAGTAAAATCAAAGTTTGATGAACGGGGAACATTGTAGCTCATCCTTAGCCTCTTTTTCTAGAATGGGCAACTTCTTACCATCTCTCAAGCGTTTCACCTGTTAACATGAGGTCATGGCAGTCTAATGACTTAGGGCACGATAGGATTCTTATTTTGTAATATCCTTTTGGTTTATGAATTGACAACTCAAATCTGACCAAAAATTTTTTTTGCCCATTTTAGCCTATCTCTGCTGATCTCAGTGACAGTGAAGCATCGTCCAACAATGGCTTGGTGGAAACAAGCAGGATTTCAGAGCAATGTGAGTGCAGTAGTCTGTTCTGTTCAATCCCATCCCATCTGAATGGAACAGGAACGACTCTGTAGTGCCTTACAGCAGCGGGGTCCCTTCCTGAGCACCCGTTTATCTTTTCTTAAAGCTCCCCTGTGCTCGTGCTTCTTTGGGGCTCCCAAACACAGAGTCTGATGCACAGAGTCTGATGCTGAATTTGCTGACAGTGCTTGGTAGTTGGGAATCCACAGACATCAGGAAGCTAGTTTTCAGATTCTTTCCACTGAATAATTTTTAACAAAATATGTAAAAATTCTTTATGGCATGTAAATGTCAGTGCCATCGGCTTGCAGGGATAGGGGAACCTGGACCACCTGCTGCCACTGCTGTCTTCTGCCTTCCGCGCCCGTCCTAGACGGCACCACATGGCGGTAGCTCTCTGCCCTGCAAATCCAGCTTCGGCCTCAGGATACTTGTCAACATGCTATTACAGTAGCCGCTGTCACACTGTGTGAACTGGCATGATCAAAGTACTCATTTGCTGGGGTTGCCATGACAAAGTACTACAAACTGGGGGGGCTAAACAATAGAAATGTACTGTCTCATAATTCTGGAGGCAGGAAGTCCAAGATCAAGGTTTCTGCAGGGCTGATTTTTCCTGAGGCCTCTCTCCTCGGCTAGATGGCTGGGCTGTCTTCTCCCAGTGTTTTCACGTAGTCTTCTCTCTGTACTTGCTTGTGCCTTCATCTCTTCTTATAAGGACACCATTTTAACTTAACTACCTCTTTAAAGACTCTCTCTCCAAACACAGTTGCATTCTTAGACATTAGGGGTTAGGAATTCAACATAGGAATTTGAAGGATACACAATTCAGCCCATAACCACCACTAACTGAAATCTGTTTGCCATCCCCCTTGCTCTGACCATGAAGTTAAGTGATTAATTGCTAACAACCATGTAAGCGCTAAGCACTTAGGTCAGCGGTTCTCAACCTGGGGGCCGCGACCCCTTTGGGGGTCGAGTGACCCTTTCACAGGGGTCCCCTAAGACCATCAGAAAACACATATTTCCGATGGTCTTAGGAACCGAGATACCGCTGCTCTATCCGTCTCCAGGCGGGTCTGCCCACGTGCAGATACACCCACACACAACATGAAGAACTGTATTAAAGAGTCGCGGCCTTAGAAAGGTTCAGAACCACTGACTTAGGTTCTTCTGGACTCTTAGGATCATCAGTCCTTCCATCCATCTTGTGCCTCGTTCTCTGCTGGGTTTTGTAGTCCTGCTCACTTCCCCTTTGTGATCTGAACTCACAGAAGTACATGTGGTCCCTCAGAAGACCTGCTGTCAGGCAGTGCTGCAGCCACTATTCAAACCCTATCCCAGATTCTCTTTGGGACTTCCTGTCCGTGTCTGCTATACATTTTTGTGGCCACCAAGTGATGGAAACCCGTCACCTTTTGAGGGTAGATTGCTTTTTTTTTTTTTTTATCCTCACCCGAGGACATTTTTTGTTCAGATAGAGTAGGAGGGAGAGAGAGAGAGAGAGAAACATCGATGTGAAAGGGACACATCGAGTGGCTGCCACCCGCATGATCAACCAGGGCTGGGGACAAACTGCAACCAAGGTACATGCCCTTAGCGGGAACCGAACCCGGGTCTCTCGGGACCGCAGGCTGATGCTCTAACCGCTGAGCCAAACCGGCCAGGGCGGTAGATTGCATTTTTATTTATTTATTAAATTGTAGTAAAATATACATTGTGCAAAATTAACCATTTTTTATTGTACAGTCCAGTGACAACCATCGCTGCCATCCATCTCTGGGACTTTTTATATCTTGCAAAACTGAAACTCTACTCATTAAACACTAACTCTCCATTCACTCCTCCTCTTGTCCCTGACAACTCATAGTCTGTGGTAGATGGAGTTTTTAGAAACCACCCAACATCTTTCGAAACCATGAGCAATGAATGTGATGGATAAGCTAGCAGGGATAATCTAAACATTAAATACATTTTGAGATTTTCCAGGGAGACTCAGACTGGAAAGGGTATGGACAGCAGCTTGGAGCAAGTGATGTTGCCGTTTGGGGTCGTTGCATTCAGTGACTCTGTCAAAGAAGGGTGGTCAAGTCAGAGTTCTAGAGATTGGGCATACTATGTCATCACTTTGTCATAATAGTCTGTATTTCTGTATTTCCATGTTATCTTCCGAGAGTTCAGGTTGTATCCAAAAATCAACATCTCTTTGTACTTATTTGCACAGAAAATAGTCATTGGATTTTAATTTCATATTTTTCTAGAATCTGTGAGGAATATGCCCCAAGGGGAAACGTTGGCTTTCATTCTTAAGGGCGTGCTCCAGCATAAAAACTGAAGTTGGTGTTTGGGGCACTTCCTTTCTTGTGAACGCTGAGAGCTTCAGCCCCAGTCTGAGTAGAAGTTAGTGAGGACGACCTTGGTCTCCTGGGTGTTACACAAGAACTGAGGAGGCAGAGCTACCCTCCATGAGTGGGTGTGGAGTGGGACCTAGGAAGATAGGGCTTCGGCTTAGCCAAACAGAGAATCAGATCAGACCACAATAGTGTGAGGTAGGACTAACTCAGGGTCTGTTATTTCTAACAAAACATGCCATGTGTCCTTGACGGTTTTTAATTTTTAGGCTGAAGACTTCTGTGTAGTCATGATTGTTTTGAGCCATGTGGGCCAGTTTTATGAAAAACCACAAAATTTGGAGTTTGGGTTGTAGATGCATTTTTTATATATTTTATATACTTATATATATTTTATATATTTTAAATAATATCACTAGAATAAAATATGAGCTATTATGGCATTCTCTCCATATTTTAGGTAAAGATGGCGTATCTTCTGGTAATGCTGAATGTACCCTCATGAGAAGAGGTGGGAAAATCGTACGGGATGTCATGGATTTGGGTGTCTGTACCAGAGAGAAACTGGCCCATGTTAGAGTTTGCAAAACAGGTACTCAGTCTTCATGTTACTTACTTTTTTAATGTCACCAAATCTTGCTTAAGGAGTTTTAATTTATAGATCTAAATAAATGAGTTCATATGCTGACATTTAAAAGATATTTATTGAATATCTGCTATATTCAAGGCATTATCTAGATACCAGTTGTTTTAGCCTTCATTCTCTTTATTATTAATAGAAATAGTAACACTTTCCCCAAAGTGACATTTTACTTGTTGAAAGATTTTCTCCTGGCAATTGGGATAGGAGTTAAAAAGATGTTTTGTCTCTTTCCCAACCCTTTTTCTATATGGGAATAATAATGTTCTGGACGTCAGCCGAAAAAGAAAGATGCTGCCTTTTTCTGGAATTCTTAACCCAGATTCCAGGCTCACCCCTGCAATTGCTCCCAGAAGTGTGGGCATATGCATTTCCAGGGAAGTAGGTCTGTTGTTTTCACTGGATTCTCCAAAGGCTTTGTGACTCCTTCCCAAAAGTCAAGACTCCCTGATGTAAGTCGGTCTTTTTCAGACTTTTTCAAACTGTGCAGCAAAATAAGAAATAGATATATTGTCATCCAGCAATACACACACGCAACTGAAACAAGGTATCATGAAACAGTGTTTGCCCCACCTGTGCGCAAAGCACTCTGGCTCACTTCTGTTGTGTTCTAGTCTTTTCATGAGACACCTGGTGCTTTCATAACTGTAGCACTAATGGGTCGTGATTAGTTTGCCAATACTGGTGTAAATGACCCCAGCTCAGCCGTTCTAGAATGACTTCTCTTTGTCCATTAATATGAGCAGCTAAAATACGCTGTCATTTCCTCAGGATCTGGAAGAACAAAAGAAAGTTTTTGTTTCATTAAAATAGCACAATAATCCTAACAGATTTATACCACAAACAGAAGCTGAGGAAATACTCAGGCACACGTGATACTTTTTCTTTCTTACTACCCTAGGGGCTCATGTTTCCACTTCCTCCATGAGAAAAACAAAATAGTGCCTATTTGATACAATTCATCTTCCCCGAATCTCAGGGATTGGTAGAGCCATCTAGCCACTGATGGAACTGTTTCTGAATTATTTTTTATTTTATTTTACTTTTTTATCCTCACCCAAGGACATTTTTTGATATTTTTGTTGAGATAGAGTGGGTGGGAGGGAGAAAGAAAAAGAGAGAAACATCGATGTGAAAGGGACACATTGAGTGGTTGCCACCCACATGACCCAACCAGGGCCAGGGACAAACTGCAACCAAGGCACGTGCCCTTAGTGGGAACTGAATCCAGGTCTCTCCAAACCGCAGGCCAACATTCTAACCACTGAGCCAAACAGGCCAGGGCTGTTTCTGAATTATTAGAAGTATGGTTAACTTGATTATCTGGATTTCCAAGAGATTAGGGGTTGTATTCACAGTAAGAACTGGACATTTTCTTTATAATCTGAGAGCAGTATCATTTCAGAGCAGTGTCCTAAAATATTTGTTGACTTCATTTGAATTGCACAGAATCAGAGCTTTGGAAGGGTCCTAGGGTAGCTGCTTCTGTTCTCCCAGGGACAAGAATGTCAGGTCTGCTCTTATGTTCTTGTTTTACACAGAATCCCTTTTTATTTATTTATTTATTTATTTATTTGTTTGTTTGTTTGTTTGTTTGTTTGTTTGTTTGTTTTTGTTACAGATGTTTCTCATTTTTCCCCCATTGACATCTTCCTCCCCTTCCCTACCACCCCATCCCCAGCTTTGTTGTCTATGTTTATTGGTCATGCATACATGCCTGTAAGTTCTGTGGTTTATCTCTTCTTCCCCCAAAACCCCCTCCTCTGAAGCTTGTCAGTCTGTACCCCACCTCTCTGTCTCTGGGTTAATTTCGTTCAACAGTTTGTTTAGTTCATTATATTCCACAAATAAGTGAGATCATGTGATATTTGTCTTTCTCTGGTTGGCTTGTTTCGCTTAGCATAATACTCTCCAGGTCCTTCCATGCCATCTCAAAGGATAAGAGATCTTTCTTTCTTACAGCTGCATAGTACTCCATTGTGTACATGTACCACAGCTTTTTAATCCACTCATCTACTGATGGACACTTGGGTTGTTTCCAGATCTTAGCTATTGTAAATAGTGCCGCTTTGAACATAGGGGTGCATATATTCTTTCTGATTGGTGCTTCAGGTTTTTAGGGTATATTCCTAGAAGTGGGATCACTGGGTCAAATGTCAGTTCAATTTTTAACTTTTTGAGGTAACACCATAGTGTTTTCCACAGTGGCTGCACAAGTCTGCATTCCCACCAGCAGTGTACTAGAGTCCCCTTTTCTCCACACCCTCACCAACACCTATTTGATGATTTGTTGATGGCAGCCATTCTGACAGGTGTGAGGTGATACCTCATAGTTGTTTTAATTTGCATCTCTCTGATTATTAGTGATGTTGAGCATTTCTTCATATGTCTCTTGGCCATTTGTATGTCCTTTTTGGAGAGGTGTCTATTTAGGTCCTGTGCCCATTTTTTAATTGGGTTCTTTGTCTTCTTTTTGTTGAGTTGTATGAGCACTCTATATATTTTGGAAATTAACCCCTTATCTGATGCATCATTGCCAATTATGGTCTCCCATATGTAGTAGGATCCCTTTCCATTTTGACGGTTGTTTCTTTTGCTGTGCAGAAGCTTTTGAGTTTGATGTAGTCCCATGTGTTCATTTTTTCCTTTGTTTCTCTTGCCTTAGGTGTTGTATCAGTGAAAATTCTGCTGCATATGCTATCTGAGATTTTGTTGCCTACATTTTCTTCTAGAATTTTTATGGATTCACAAGTTACATTTAAGTCTTTTATCCATTTTGAGTTTATTGTCGTGTAGGGTGTAAGCTTGTGTTCTAGCTTCATTTTTTTTGCAAGTAGCTATCCAATTTTCCCAACACCACTTATTTAAGAGACTGTCTTGACTCTTGCCACCTTTGTCAAATATTAATTGAGCATATTGTCTTCGGTCCATTTCTGGGTTCTCTATTCTGTTCCATTGATCTATCTTATCTGCCTGTTCTTGTGCCAGTACCAGGCTCTTTTGACTATAGTGGCTTTGTAGTATATCCTGAAATCTGATCATGTGATGCCTCCTACTTTGTTCTTGTTTTTCAAGATTGCTGTGGCTATTCAGGGTCTTTTTTGGTTCCATATAAACTTTTGGAGTGTTTGTTCTAGTTCTGTGAAGTATGTCATTGGTATTTTGATGGGGATTGCATTGAATCTGTAGATTGCTTTGGGTAGTATGGACATTTTAATGATGTTAATTCTTCCAATTCATGAACAAGGTATATGCTTCCACTTTTTTATATCTTCCTTTATTTCTTTTTTCAATGACCTATAGCTTTCTGTGAAGCGATCCTTTACTTCTTTGGTTAAGTTTATTCCTAAGTATCTTAATTTTTTTGCTGCAATGATAAATGGGATTGTTTTTTAGTTTCTGTCTCTCTGATTTCATCATTGGTGTATAAGAATGCCATTGATTTCTTGACATTAATTTTGTATCCTGCTACTTTGCCAAATTCATTTATTAGGTCTGGTAGATTTTTGATGGAGTCTTTAGGGTTTTCTACAGAATCCCTTTTTAATTCCCAGATGTATATTTATAGGACTTTGTAAATGCTATCAGGCTACAGGTTATTAGAGTTCCTCTTGTGTCACTGAACAAGAATCCTGGCTTTACAGCAACAACTATGCATATGGAAATACTTTTTAAAAAAATGATGTGATTAATATTAACATGGTGTGATATTTTTGTTAAAAAAAAGTTTTTTTATCTGTTTTCCCTCAGGTTCCAGTGGAATACCTGTGAAGCTGGTCACAAATCTCTTCAGTTTAGATCTGCCCCAGGACTGGAAGCTATACCAGTATCATGTGGCGTACATGCCCGATTTGGAATCTAGAAGCATGAGAATTGCTTTGCTTTACAGTCATAAGGAATTTTCCAACAAAGCAAAAGCATTTGATGGTGTCATCCTTTTTCTCTCACAGAAGCTGGAAGAAAAGGTACAGTACGGTTGCCTTATCATCCATGCGCGTGCGCATACAGTTATGCTCATTCATATATATTTATGAGGTTAGCTGATTCTCATCATAGTTGAAAGGTGTGTTTCACTCCTTTCCTCTTTCCTATTCCATGTCTGAGAACAAAAAGATTTCCTAATTAAGACCTCTTAAGTAATTGATTTCTTAATTAAGAAGCTAATGGTCTGGTATTTTAAAAATAACAGCTGCTTTTTCAACAATTTTTTTTTTTTTTTTAGGTCCTTGAAATAGGCATCCTTTTAAAACTTTTCCCAAAATAGGCAACACCTTAAGAAACACCTATAGCTTTATGGCTTTGAATTTACTCTTTCCTTTTTGTTAATCCTCACCTGAAGATATTTTTTCCATTGATTTTTAGAGAGAGTAGAAGGGAGAGAGGGAGAGACAGAGAGAAACATTGATGTGTGCACATCAGTTGGTTGCCTCCTGCACACAGGGGCAGAGACGAATCGAAACCCAGGTATGTGCCCTTGGCTGGAAATTGAACCCATGACCCTTCAGTTCAGGGGCCTGAGCTCTAACCACTGAGCACACTGGCCAGCACGAGTGAATTTATTTTTGGGGTTTTTTTTGCTCCTGCACAGTTGTGCCCAGGTATATATCAATCTCTGATTCTAAGACTGTCATTTATTTCATGACTTGTCCTATCTTACGAAATATGAGTTATTGATATCAATGTTGAAGATATGTTTTATTTTTTATTTATTTTATTTTATTTTGGTACGTGCCCCTAGTGGGAATCAAACCTGGGTCTCTCTGGTCCGCAGGCCAACGCTCCAACCTCTGAGCCAAACCAGCCAGGGCCTGAAGATATGTTTTAATTGTGTGACCATTGCATGATCCATTTTTTTATACTGTCAACATTTTCAGTCCTAAACAAACTTATTGGTATTGAAGCTTTTATCAGATGCTTTATTCTAAAGCAATATTAAAATCACTACAGGGGAAAAAAAACAATTTCTGTATGAAAAATTAAAACGGAGCATTGGATTAAAATTTTATACTTTTATCCCTTGGAAAGCTTAATCCTTTAGTTCAGAGTTTTGAACAGAATGGTATCAATAGCATACATTTCTAGAGTCCATGTAAATCTTAGTGAATTTCCTCAAGGAACACGTGTCTGAGCACTCCTGGGGCCTTGATCATTTTGTGAGATCCTGAGATGTGTGGGCGCTGCTTGAGTGCTTATTTCATCTGGATGTAGACCTTTATAATTATATCATATGATTAAATTCAAGGGCTTGAAAAACCTGTACATTTAGAAACATTTTTGTTCATCTTCAGTTCTTACTGATCCCTCAGTATTTTGTCTTATGACCGGGTGTTGATAGCATGCTAATATGGCCTCTCATATTTGAATGACATATTTCAAGTGTATTGTTACCATTTAAGATCATTTTGCCTATAGATACATTTGTAGTAATAATTTGGAAATTTAGATATATTAAAATTATTATATACCTCTCACCCCCTGAATGATTGAGCTTACTTAATGTACCTAACCAAAGTGGAGAAATTTTACTATGCAGATGCTAGGAATAAGTTAATATTATTCACTTCTCATTCACAATGAGCATGTGGTATGGGCCACACACCTTCTTATTGTCGGGGATGGAATCTAATGAAGAGGCGGGTGAGTGAATAGATAGTAAAAACATGGTGCGACAAATCAGGCCTGTTGATGTCATTTCTCAGACTCAGGTGATACTAGGTTTAGACAAAAGTGTGTTGTCTTATTCCTTATCAACATGTGACCTGCCACCCAATGACAGCGAAAACACAGTAAAAATAAAGTGTCCTAATGAAGATATTACTATTCTCACCCTTTGATTCTGGTCTTAATTGACTCAGGCTAAATTCCGCACTCCCATCCATCCCTTACACACTCCACAGGATGACGAGAGTAGTCGAAAGAGCTCCTCCACTAATTCATTCTTCGTGCTCCCAAATAGTGCAGTTCTAGAAGTCCCTTTCTGCTACCTCCTGGCCTTCTCTGTCTCTCAGATCCCATCGGCGCATCTGTGGCCGTGATCAAGGTTCCTGTCACTGGTCACAGCCGTTTGCCACTCTCATGCATTCACTCCACACTTAGAAAGAGCCTACTGTGTACCTGGAAGGGTGCTGCTCACCCTGGAGGAAACAAGGATCGATAAGGAAAGGCTCTTGTTGTCGAAAGGTTTTCCATTTAGTACCGAAGTTCTTTACAAACAAATTCAGTGCAAGGTAGAATGAAATAAATGCCATGATAACAATGAGCAGTTTTATTGTGCTAACATTCACGGAGCCCTTCCTAGGTGTTAGGTACTGTGCTTGGTTGTCCTCAGATTAGCCCAGCTCATCTCCCTGGGGTTGAGCAGATCTGTACCTGGTGTCACACCCACCAGGTTACATTTGTTGAGCATTGAGTCTGCTCCTTCCGTGCTTGATTTCATTTAATCTTCTCCTCATCCCTGGAGCCTCAGAGAGGCTAGGCGTTCTGCCTGCGGTCTTCGGTCTTCGTACGGAGCTGGAGGAGAGGAAGGGTCGTTCCCGCAGGACACTTCAGAGGGAGTGCAGATTAATTCATTGTTTGGGTAGGACTTGGATCGGTGTGGGAGGGTGGTGATGGTGGTGGTGAATTCTTAGACAGAAGGACCAGAAGGAGGAAGGGCACAATTTGGGGAAGTGAGGAGCCTGTTTCAGGAACTTCTGACAGTTCGGGGTTAGCCAGGAAGGACTGGAAGTTGTGATTCAGAAGGCAGGGAGAGCTGGAGTGTCCTGTTGAGGAATAGAGACTGTCCTCCATGGCCACTGAGGCCACTGAGAGGGAGTTTTTATGGGAACTGTGTTCAGTTAGTTACTCTGATCACATCTACTGAATCATTGACCAGAGAAAGTGGGGAAATTATTGATAAAGTATCACTGGAACCCTGGCCGGTTTGGCTTAGCAGTTAGAGCATCGGTCCGTGGTCCAGAGAGACCCGGGTTCGGTTCTGGCTAAGGGCATGTGCCTCGGCTGTGGTTTGTCCCTGGCCCTGATTGGGGTCGTGTGGGAGGCGGCCGCTCAGTGTGTCCCTTTCACGTCGATGTTTCTCCCCCCCCCCACACACACTCTATCTGAACAAAAATGGAAAAATGTCCTTGGTGAGGATTTAAAAAAAAGGTGTCACTGGAAATATTTGGGTGGGACATCAGAAAGGCTTGGAAAAAGGTACCAAGCGCTGCTACATAAGGATAAGATCCATGAATGGTCTCATTTAATCGGCACAGCCATGGACTCATTTCCACTTTAAAGTGGGGAAGGTCATAAAGAGTTGGAGGAATTTGCTCCATATCACACAGGCTGCAAGAGGCAGAGGACCAGGGTCTGTCCAGTTCCAAATTGAGGCTCATAAGCTCTGTGGTAAATGAATGGTACTGGAACAGCTGAAGCAGATTAGAGACCTTGCTGGTGTAGAAGTGCTGAGACTTGCCAACCCACGAGATGGCTGATGGCGGAAGGGAGTGAAAACTCTCTCGGATGCTGGCAGCCAGGGACAGGAGGGTGCGGGGTCCAGCAACAAAGGAAGCAAGGAGGAGTTGGAGTGTGGTAGCGGAGATGCAGGAGGTGCTGTTGAGTTTGCTCCTAGTGCTGTTAGGAATGCAGTTCCTAGATTGAGGTCTCTCTGGGGACCATCTGCTGCTCCCACCCCAGCCACTCACTCCAACATCCTTTGTTGTCTTAATTCTTTGTCCCGAAATCTCTGCGGCAGTGTGAGAGCCCCTCATCTCTCCTGGCTGCTGGACTTCTCCCAGATGTTGATGAACTCTTTCTGCCTCTCTCCACCTCTGCTTTCTCTACAATTTTACCTGAAGCAGGACGTCATCTCAGTGACATATTTCAGCTTCTGGGGAAGGACCTGCTCCACTTTGTTTCCATACATTGAGCCATTCCTACCTTACATTGTTGGTTCAACCTAAAAGTGGTTAAAACTACACTTTAACCATAGAAAACCAGGGTAAAATACATAAATGCTTGCTAATGAACTGATCTCTTCTAATTCCATACGCTTCTGAAAAATCCTTGATCATTGATTTTTATTGGCTGATTTGTTCATTCTTTTGTTCCTAAAAGCTGTACAGAGCTCTGTCTGGTCTAAGGAGCTTTAAATTTAGTTGGCGTAGAAACCTATTCATGCATTCATTTTATTGTTAGAATGTTGCTCCAGATTCTAAGAACCCTAGAGATTTCTCTAGGCCTTTCAAAATCAATAAAGTCAGATGTCCTATCTGTTTAAATGTCCACCACCTTCTTCTCTTTCCCCACATTTACTTCCCTTCTTGTCTATCCCCTGTCCTTTGCTTTCTTACTCTCTTCTTCTCTGCTCTGCTCTTTTATGAATAAACTTGAGGGGCTGTACTCTGAAATTCATGAACCCAGGGTGGACAGGATAGGCTTCTGGAGATCCAAGAACCCCCTGAAAATGGGCACATTATGTACATCATAGTAGTCTATACATATGTGACCTTTTCTTGGGAGAATGTCTGTAACTTTTAACAGACTCTCAAAGTAATCTTTCTCATCTCCCCCTCCCCAAATCAAGAACTACTACCCTTGAATTCTCTTTAGATTGAATCTTTGAACCCTCTGTCTGCTTTTGATACTCCATTAAGAAGTTACAGAGTGGAGATGTGTTGCTTTCTAGAATTAGCAAGATACAGAGTCAATAACCCTTCCAAACATAATGCGCTGATTACATTATTACTCACGTGGTTAACACCTGCAGCTTTGTTGTGGTTGATGTGTATTAGATTGTGATGGCTTCATCACACCCACGTTCTGCACCCGTGGGGGTAGTCTGTAGCGTGCATACCAAGTACTCCTTTCCCAGGTCACAGAGTTGTCAAGTGAAACTCGAAGAGGCGAGACTGTGAAGATGACTGTCACTCTGACGGCCGAGCTGCCAGCAAGCTCCCCTGTGTGCATCCAGGTCTTCAGCATCATTTTCAAAAAGTAAGGGGCCATAAATGAGAATTTAATTCAGGCTAAGGATGCCTTTCAACATAGAGCCTGGGTACTACGATTATCAACCGTTTTGTAGGCAATATGCCAGCAACAGTGCCATCCCCAGGGCACTTGTTCACGTCCTTTCACTTCCTTGTGCAGGAATGGGCACCGAGGTGCATCGCAGTCTCCACCTGGCATTACTCGTTATCATCAGGTTCTATCTGAGTTCAGACCAAGGACTCAAGGGTTGTGATGTCTCTGTGGTAGCGAGAGAGTGCCTTTTTCTCTCCTCCTTTTCTGTACCCTGTACCTCCTCCTCTCCTCTGAAAAGCTGGGTATGTCTGGGCTAGTACCAAAGGATTTGTTTTTCTCCTAGTTGATTGCTTTTAGTGTAAAAGGCCATCATCATCTGCTGTCTGCTGTCACTCGGGGCGGAGGGAGGTGGTGACTGAGCTTTTCAGTGTTCTCCGAAGGGATGCGGATCATGTACTTCAGAGTCAACTTGGGGGTTGGGTCGGACATGATCAAATGCAGAATTCCTACTCCTCAGTGAACCCAGGGAAGAGAATTTCATGGGTGGGATCCGAAAATCCACATTTTTAGCAAGCTCAGCAGGGGGCACGTGGGCACACAAAAGCATGCAAAGCCCTGTTCATGCTGCGGGTGTGGGTCAGTAAGGTGGTCGGAACTCCGGGCAGGGTGATGGTGGGAGTTTGGGTTTAGCTGAGTAGGGCACATGAAGGGACTTCCCGGCGTAGATACATTATTTTCTCAGCTCATCAGACTTCTGGCCCATTATATTTAGATCTTGCCTGGGCTTCGGTTCAGTGCTGCGTATCGCCCCCCAGAAGCCAGTCTTGCGTGTCTTCCTGAGAGGGGACTGTTTTAAGCCAGCTAACATTTCAGAGGTGCTTTGCAGTTAGAAAGCTTGTGTTCGCTCCTCACTGGAGTGCCCTGAAGCAGGTACTGTGAAAACCCCCATTTCACAGATGAGGAGGCTGAGGCTCAGTGACCTTTGGAGCTAAAATCACGCAGTTGGAGCCCCTGTTTTCTGACTTCAAACCCTTACGACCCCGCATGTGCTGGGCAGCCTCGGAGCAGTGATGTGTCAGATCCCAAAGGCGACCAGGATTAGTGGCCGAAGAGGCACCCGTGTTATTTGGTAGCACCTGGACAGCTAAGCAGCCTTTTTAGAAACATCCTCTTCATCCCCAAATAGGGGAGAGGCCAGAGAGCCTTCAGATGTGGTTTGCCTCCCTCCACCCACGCTAACCAGGCCACTCCACCATCGTAATTGTTTAAGTGACCGCACACCTACTACAGTGAAACCCAGACACATAAAAATAACTTGTCACTCTCAAATACCAAGTGATCGTTCTTGTATATACACTCATATGTGTAGTTAGTATCTGAACCTCCCAGTGATATAAGAATAAGAGATCTGTATTTTTACATACTTTTATTGTTATGTTCAGGATGGGTACAAACTTAGAATTACACTGAGATTCACTGGTGTTTACCAAAAAGTAAAAAAACATATATACTTGCAGGATCTTAAAAAAATTGTCCATGTACCAAATTGGACGGAACTTCTACAAGCCTTCAGAGCCCGTGGAAATTCCCCAGCACAAGTAGGTTTGTTTATGTTTTCTGTTTCTCTGAAATTGTTGTAATGTGAGCACCATGACTTATGATGCAATATTACACTGTTATGCCGCCTATGAGAGATTCTGCGGTATGAAAAGTAACAGATTTTTTAAAATTTTCAGTTTTTTTATGGAATAGGGAGTGTCAATGTGAAACAGCAGCCAGTTTTCCTCGATTAGTGTGCTGGCTCATTATCATAAATCTTAGAAGGGATTCAGAAACTGAGTTTTCTGTGTGTGACAAGTAATAACGAAAGCAGAATAAGCTATACTATCTCATACCACTTAATTGGTGTTCCGTTTTCTTGCTGGCAGGAAGTTAGCACAGCCAGGGAGGTTGATAGGAAAATATTGGGTAGGCAGAGGTCAGGAAGCCAAGTAAACTACCTAGTGAAAGATAGACTGTGAAGAACACGTGCGGAATTTTCACCCTAAACTGGGAAGTGGATGCTGCAGAGAAAGTGCTCAGTTGTGTCTCAAACTGGTTGCCACTCAGCTGTCCAAAATATTCGGCCAAGCTAAAGACAGGCAACCAGCAGCCCAAAGACAGGAATGCAAACAGAGGGGGAGGTGCATAAAGGTGGGAAATGAGGGCAGGGGGTTGGGCCTTCTGGCCGCTGGAGGAGAAGCTGGGGCTTTGCAATATGTTAACTCCACGTGTCCCAGTGGTCTACGTAGAGCGTGCTGTTCGTCCCTGTCACTTATCATTCCACCTGGAATAGAAATTCACAGGTCCGGCGTGTCCTGCGCTGGAGTGGGGGAAGGCTGGCTTAGCATCACAATGAATGAAGTAGGCAAGATATAAACTGAAATGATTAAAAAAAAAAAATTGTCTATTATTTCATGCCATTTTTGCACCTTTTCTTATTCAAGACTCCGGTATAACATGCCTACGTGTGGAAAGGAGCTGTAGCCTCTGCTGGATTCTTTTGGGTGTCTGTACAGACCACATTTATTTCTTAATCTCACTGTGAAGGCCTCCCTGGCTTCACCGCTGGGTCCGCGTGCTTTTCTGAGCACAGACGTTTGCACGCTGTGGTTCTCCATAACATTTCAGTCCTTCCTTCGGCTCAACCAGGGGCAGTTCTGTCCCCCAGGGGACATTTGAGAATCCAGTCCAAACGTCAGCAGTGTCAAGACTGAGAAGCCCTGCTCTGCAGGAATATATTTCATCTTAAATGCATAGTTAAAGGCACTCCAGCTGGAAATATCGAAAGTTTTTAGTCAGGAACTGGAAGAAATTAGACTAAAGAAGAAATTATTTTATAAAATCTATAGAATGAGAATGTCAGATCACTATTTAAAAATGTTTATTGTACTCTGGCTGGTTTGGTTCAGCGGTTAGAGCGTTCGCCTGCGGTCCAGAGAGACCCGGGTTCGGTTCCCGCTAAGGGCACGTACCTCGGTTGCAGTTTGTCCCCGGCCCTGGTTGGGTCATGCGGGTGGCGGCCACTCGATGTGTCCCTTTCACGTCGATGTTTCTCTCTCTCTCTCTCTCTCTCTTTCTTTCTCTCCCTCCTACTCTATCTGAACAAAAAATGGAAGAGTGTCCTTGGGTGAGGATAAAAAAATAAATAAGTAAAATAAAAATGTTTACTGTGTTTCTAATATAACTTGTTAATGTTTATTTTTTTAAGGTTGTCCCTTTGGCCTGGGTTTGCCATTTCTGTGTCATACTTTGAAAACAAGCTCCTGTTCAGTGCTAATGTGAGTTATAAAATCCTCCGGAATGAGACTGTTCTGGAATTCATGACTGGCCTCTGCTACCAAACTGGCATGTCCGGCTTTACCCAGATGTGTGAAAAAGAGCTGATTGGGCTCATTGTCCTTACAAGGTAAACACCTGCTTTTAGATAAACTTTCCCCAGAGAAAGAATGGTTTATGGTATTCAGGAACTGGAGTGCATCAAGGTGTTCCCGGGCAGGGAGCTGGGCAGCCTGTAATGGGTGGGTTCTTGACTACGTGCAGGAAAGATTTCAAAACACAAGCCCAGGTGATTTTCGAGAGGATGTTTATTAAAGCTGAGGACAGTGAAACAAGGAAGGGCCTCTGGTGGAAGAAGCAACAGGAGAGCCAGGGCGGGGCTGCTTTGGCTCACTGGGAGTCAGAGCAAAGGGGGCCTTGGGGACAGGCTCAGGCGGGTAACCCAGGACAAGCTGCCACTCACTGCCCATTGCTCCCTGGGTCTCAAATCTCATGGGGTCCCTTAGAGTTTAGGAGGTGCATGCCTGAGAGGGAAGAAGGGGGGTAGGGGGAGGGTTGGGCTTGCTTCTGGGAGGGAGAGCACACCCTGGGTCTTTTCTGAGGGTTTTAAAGGCTGGGAGTTTAGGGGAGGATCTCAATAGAATATTCACCAGCTTTATGCTGATGGACCAAAATGAGATTTAGTCTCTCAACTTCATCTGTCCTTGGGTATGGTTGGCAAGCGCCACTAAATGACAGTCTGCTCTCTGTCTCTCTGAGTAGAGTTGTTATTGGGGAAGTTGGGGTATCATCTTCCCCACTGAATGCTGGGGGTGGTATACTTCTGATATCTCTAGAAAAACAATTTCCTGAGACTTGCATGGGAGAATGAGTGATTTTTATTTACATGGAATTACATCCTTTGGTTTCCAAAGTCCCATTTCCTTTAGACCAGTCCTAGAAGAAGTGTAGCTGGGGTTTCAGTAGAGCTAGAAGCAAAGTCAGTGCCCAGAGTTTCCTTACCATGTTGCAGCCTGGTCCAGTTCAGCATCAGGCTAGTTAATTCATTGTGTAGGGGGTCTACATGGCCATAGGCCATTTGGGCCAATGCAGGGGAACAGGAGTATGAGAGACCCGAAAGTCAGGAACCAAGAGAGACCAAGAGAGCAAACTTCTTTGTTCAGGGAATTAAGTATCCCAGATCTTCCCATGCTTGCAATGGCCACGTGCATTCTGGCCAGTGACCTCTGTTCCCAGGTGTGACCGACAGCAAGCACCTTTGCTAATGCCCCCAAGTGTACTGGGCATGAGTCTATCTGCCGCCCTGTCCAGTCCCTTCCCCCAGCGACCTCCCTGGGGAGTGTAAATCTTTAGCTTCCTGGTGAAACTGCCCAAACAACATGCCTGTGTTTGGCCTTCCCTTTGCTCCTTTCCTGTTATTAACAGCGAGGTAAGTTAGTGTCATCAGGGTGCTTTAAGCTATTTACCCTCTAGTTGGGAAGGAACGTGTAAATCATTTACTCTTTAGTGTCCTTGGTTGGGGAAAATGGGATTTTGAGGCTTACCAGATGGCTGTAAATGACTTGGCTGTTAACTATCTGTCTAGTTTCCCTGTTCCATTTGTCTTGGCTCACTAGCCTGTCTCAGCGGTATTGACCTGACCACGGATCTGATCACTTTGCTCCCCGGTTCAGAGGACCTAGCTGTTCTCAGTTGTCCAGAGTTCAGACTTCTCGAGTGGTGTTCTGGACTGTCCCCGGTCTGACGTGGGCCCGGGTTACCTCTTGCTGCACCCCCACCCCAGTAGTCTGCAGTTTGCTGCCTCTGTGCCTCTGCCTGGATTTCCTACCCCTAGTTCTGCCTGTTAAACTCCCACTTCCACGAAGCCCAGCTCAGACACCCTGCTTCTCTGAAGCCTGCACCTGTCCACTCAGTCACAAGTACCCAGTGCTTTCCCCGTGCGGCTCACAGAGCACGTGGCTTACAGCTGTCTCTACTGTCATTTATTTCATTTAATGGCCGTATGGGATAGGACATCAAGCCCGAGTCATCTTCTCTATGAGGATGAGGTCTTTAAGGCGAGACCTTTCAAGCCTCCAGGTTGGTCTATGTATAATTTGCCCTCAGGCACATTGAACTGAATTGCACACGGCAGGTGAGGTGGCTTCCTGAGCACCGAGAGGTCACCACGTGCTGCTCGTCCCCAGCGCTTCTTGTAGAGGACCTGCTGGCCTTCTCCAGGCCTGGCTTCGGATTTCCACTGAACGTCGTTTCTCTGGTTCAGAGCACAGAGGTGCGCTGGTTAGTTCCACACCGCCTGGTGTGGGAAGGCTGCCTTCTTTTCCTACCTTGATCCTCACCTGGTTTGTTACACTGATTTAAAGTCACCAACAAGGTACCAAGAGCCCTGGAGAAAGAAACCTGAAGAGGATGTTTCTGTCCGAAGGCTGGGGCGGCACCGTGAGCCACACAGCCTGAAAGGGACAAAGAGCTTAGAACAGCGGTTCTCAACCTGGGGGTTGCGTCCCCTTTGGGGGTCGAACGACCCTTTCACAGGGGTCACCTAAGACCATCAGAAAACACATGTTTCCAATGGCGATTCGTAACAGTAGCAAAATTACAGTTTATGAAGTAGCAACGAAAATAATTTTATGTTGGGGGTCACCACAACATGAGGAGCTGTATTAAAGGGTCGCGGCATTAGGAAGGGTGAGGACCACTGGCTTAGAGTGATCTTAGAGGATCCGATTTGCATTTTTGCCCGGGGCCCGTGCTAGGGGGAGATAGAGCAGCACACCGAACCAGGTGGTTGACCAGCCCTCTTTCTGTGTGTGTGTTTTTAATCTTTTATCAGAAAAGCTACCTGGGGGCTCAGAAAAGTCTGAGGGACACAAGAAGCTGATGGGAAAGTTCTGAACAACGGTTTGTTCCAACATTTAAGAATGATTCACCCAAAATCAGAGGGTCTGTCAGTGAGAAAAACAGTTTGTGGTCTAATCACTTTCCTACCAGTTTTGTTGAGATACAGAGGTCTTCCTATAGACTGAAGAGTTGATTATTACTCTTCTCAGATAAGAGTTGATAATTAAAAATTTTTTTAATTGATTTTTTAGAGAGAGAGAGAGAAACATCGATGAGAGAGGGGTACAGTGATCAGCTGCCTCCTGCCCGCTCCCTCCTGGGGATCAAGCCCACAACCCGGGCATGTGCCCTGATCCAGAATTGAACCCCGACCTCGCAGTCCATGGGAAGAGACTCAAGCCACTGAGCCACACCAGCTGGGCTAAATTTTTTAAAAGTGACTATTCATGTGTTACTCTTTTTCATCATTTCTGAAATTTTGGAGTCTAATGCTTTGAATTAAAAATGTAGTGAAATTGCTGCTTATCTTGTATGATTAGGAAAAAAAATCAAGGTTTCTTGCCTTCACCAGATACAATAACAGAACCTACCGCATCGATGATATTGACTGGTCGGTGAAGCCCACGCACTCCTTCCAGAAGCGGGACGGCACTGAGATCCGCTATGTGGATTACTACCAGCAGGTAGGGCTTCCCCTTCTTCCTCATCCCCCTTCCTCTGAGCTCAGAGACGGCTCCCTGTTCCTGTCCAAGTCCGACAGGTTCCTCCAATTGTCAGGCTGAGTCTGCCTCCAGGAGAATTGTCTGACTTGTCCCTTCGCCTCCATCCCTGCATCCTTAGCTTGGCCCAGACCCTCATCCTGTCTCCTGTTGTCCTTCCTGTAGGCTGAGTAATCTCCCTTAGAAGCATATGTATCTGAAAATGTCATTTCCCTGCTTAAAATGGCTCCCTAATGCCTGAGGAGCCAGATCTAAGCTCCTGGGCATAGTTTCCTAAGCCCTTCATAATAAGACCCCTCCCTGCCTCTTGAGCCTCTTTTCTTACCACTCCGGTTTCCTTCACGTGTTCTGTGGCCACTTCCCGGTGCTTTTCCACACACGTTGCTGCCTCTTCCTGGTCACCCCTTCACAGCCAGTAAATATCCTTCAGTATTCAGCTCAGCTGTCCACTCATAGGGGAGCCTCGTGAACCTCCCCCAGGACCCCTCCCTGCACTTAGCTGCAGCACATTATTATGGGCAGGCTGTGAATGGTCTGACTCCCCTTCTGGGCTTGAGCTCCTTGTTTCTGGACACCCAGGGCTAGCACAGTGACTTGCATGTCGCAGATGCTTAAACATTTGCTGATGGGATCTCCTGCTGCGTTTGGAAGCTTGATTCGCAATGACCATAATTACTCCTGCCCCACCTCCACAGGCTTCTTCTCTTTAACGTACAGTCATATTCCAGAGAGCTTGAAAAATCTCACAAATGTTTTTTTAAAAAAACAAAAAAGGCAAAGCAAACACCCTTCCTTGTCTTTCCTGCGCCTTCAAGAAAAAGTTATCTACTTTGCCTCCTTAGCTGACTTCTTTAGAAAGTCATCGACATTAGCTCCAAGCACTTCTTCAGTTCTTCCTTCCTGAAGCCTGCGCAGTCTGGGGTCTGGTTTGGTTGTTATGGAAATGTTACTGGACAGGGACTGGGCCCCCTGAGTGGTCTGCCCAGGGCCAGCCGGTAGCGTGTGGACTCTTGACGTTTCGCAGGAAAGATTTCACAGTGCGAGTCCAGGTGATTTGGAGAGTATGTTTATTAGGGCTGAGGTCGTGGAATGAAGGAAGGGCGAGGATGGAAGGAGCAACGGGAGAGCCTAGCTGGAGCTGTTTGGCGTCTCGGAAATGTTCAGGGAAGGAGTGCGCCTGGCGCTTCCGTTGGCGGCAGGGAGAACGGCACCGGGGGCAGTACTGCCGGGGCCGACTGGACCTGGGTCAGCAACCTCCGTACTTGAGTTCTGGCTAAGAAGGAATTCAGAGCCAAGACTCATGCTAGACGAAAACATTTATTTATAAAGTCACAGAGGTAGAAGAAGTAATTTGTAGAAGAAATGGGCTTAGGAAACAAGTTAGAGAGGCAAAGGAAGGGGCCTTAGAGCTTAAGAGTGAGGAAGGTCGCCTGGCTGGTGTGGCTCAGTGGATTGAGCATCATCCCATGGACTGAGAGGTTCTGTTCCAATTCCTGGTCAGGGCACACGCCCGAGTTTTGGGCTCGATCCCCAGTAGGGGGAGTGCAAGAGGCATCCAATCGATGTTTCTCTCACATCGATGTTTCTATCTCTCTCTCCCTTCCTCTCTCTCTTAAAAAAAAAATCAATGAAAACATATTAAAAAAAAAAAAAAAGAAGTGGGGAAAATCAAGGTGACATACCTCGAGGAACGGGGAGGGGTTGGAGGAAGGAGAAGGTTCAGACATGTTCCCAGGAGCGAGAGTGTACTGGGTCCTTGGTCCTAAGGGTTTTAAGGGTGGAGATTTTAGGGGAGGCCCCAGGGGAAGATCTCAGTAGAACACTCAGCAACTTTCCAGGTGTGTCCTTTCGGGGTCCTGGTCAGCACTGATTGATTGGTCCACACCAGGACAAGGGGTCATTGTTCAGTAGGGCTGGTCCCGAGGTCAGCGTGGCATCGCTTCATCTGGTTTTGCTGCCTTTCTGGGCCTGGAGCTGAGGTACAACTGAGGCCTAGGTGTTATCCCCAGGGAGGAAAGGTCAGGGGTCTAAACTGCATGACCAGCAATATGAAAGGTTGGGGGTCCACACCACATGACCAGCGAGATGCTAGGGGAGGAGAAGTCACCGTGGGGATGAGGTCCCACCTACAGTTGTCCTTTGCTAGGCCCCTGGGGCTTTACAGCCTGTGACCTTCTGTACCCGGCCCATTGTCCTTGCTCTGCTCATGTCTGTCTAACTGCCTGACACACTTTGGCTCACTGAGAAATAAGTCGGTGAAAGAAGTGAGCTTTAGCTGGAAAGTCAGAGGAAAGAGGGCCTCGCACGTTGGGGGGATAAGCCTGGCCTGAGCTGCTGCTGCCTGCTGCTCCCTGGTTGCCAGTCCCCGGGGACCCACAGACGGGAGAGCAGAGCTGGGGGTGCTCTAGCAAGAGTGGGCCGTGGCTCCTTTATTCGGAGCTTTTCATCGTTCTTTGGTTGGCAGGGATCCTCGGGGAGGCCTCAGGAGGGTCTCAACAGGATATGCACTAGCTTTCCAGGTTTGTCCCTTGATGTATTGATTCATCAAAATATTCGTATAGAGAGGTCAGGGTTATTTTCTGATTTATTTTCAAAGACTCATTGAAGAGGGACTGGGGCCGAGGCCCGTCTGACCCGGACGGTCTGGAATGTATAAACCATTTGATCTTAAGCGTCCTTCGTTAGAAAGACAAAACCTTGTGATTCATCGGCTGGCTGTACATTGCTGAAATTGTTTGGCCTTGTTTAATGATTTTGTGTCAATTTCCGTTATTCTGCTTGTCAAGGAGTTTCCCTAGCTTCTTACTAACCAGCCTCAGCAATAGCTCTTTAAAGGGCAAGTTCACTTACTGTTCTCATCCTACTGGGCCTTTGGTGGCATTCGACACTGGTGACCACTCCCACCTGGCTGACCTGGCAGCCTGGACTCGGGGGGCACATCCCTGGTGGTTCTCCGTGAGGGTTCAGATTGCTTTTTTTCTCAGCCTCTTTTGACGTTTTACCCCATTTTTCCCGCAAACCTTAAATGCTATTCACCGCGGTTCCCTCATAGAGGACTTTTTCTTCATATTTTGACACCTCTCAAATACAGTATTTTTTGCGTTGCCCTCATTTCTAAATTACATACTCATCTCTATTTTCAGACCATATTTGCATGAGTATCCTGCAGGCATCTCAGACTAACATAATTCATCCTAAACTCATGGTCTCTCTCCCTTCTGTTTCTCCCGGGGACTTCTGCCCCTCAGGAAACCATTTCGTTCCCTTGCTCGCTTCACCCTCGCCTCCTCCTTGGGTTGTCACCAAGATGGGTGCTGCCTTTTCTATATTGAACCCCCGCCCCTCCCCAGCCCTCTTCACTCCCTCAATGCAGACCCTCTCACGGATTCCCGTCCGGGGGATCTTGGTCACCCTCACTGCGGTCCGTCATCCTCCCTGCCACCAGAGCTTCCTGAAACACTGCCCAGAACTGGGGTCGAGAGATAGCTCTGGAAGAAGGTGGTCCTGGCAGAGCTGTGCAGCCTTGGGCAAGCCAGGGGCGTGTCGTCTGTAAGAGGGAGGCATCTGCCTGCCTTCATGGTGCAGTGTGAACTCTGAGCAAGATGATAGCACACGGAGCACTTGGCCCGGTGCCTGCACACGGCGAGCACTGGGTACATGGTGCAGACCCCGCCCCCTGTCCCCCGCCTCCCCGCTTCATCTCTAGCATCACCCAGTTTGGTCCGCTCAGCTTTAGCCTCATCCCCACACCCCACCACACGCCCCACGCGCTCTCGCCCAGCCCACCTGCGTCAGTGCTCCTCAGCTCTTGCCCGTGTTCACCAGACATGTGCCTGAAGCCACACTGTACCTTTCTCCTTCACCACCGGGGAAGGCCTAGCTTCAGGAGCAGTGCGCCTCGCTGGAGTCCTCTCCCACGCGGCCTCCTGTTAGTCACAGTCTGTAAGCTCGTGTGTCACACCTCGTACTGGTGCCTGGAGGTGCATCTTGGGCATGGAATGTGCGCCAAAGTGCTTGTTAGACACAAAGTGTGTGCCACATTTGGGTTTCGTCTCTGTGTAGTTACGTTGATCTTCTTTGAGCAGATGATTTCAGGACCTGTGACATTCTGAAAAGGGAATACTTGTAAAATCCCACTCACGTTCTTTGAAGTGAGCTATGTTCGCTACGTGTATGTTGTAATTAGGGAGAAGCAGAAACAAAATTGTGCCTCTTCCTAGAATGTCCTCCTCTCTGTCCCGGAAAGGAACACTGAATTGTTATGTAGTCCACTTTCAAAGTGGAAGACATGTTGATATTGACCTGTATATTTCTCCACTTTATTTTATCATGAAAAATATTTTCAAATGCTAAGAAAATCGGGGCACCCTGGCTGGTTTGGCTCAGCGGTTGGAGCATCAGCCTGAAGACCAAAGAGTTGCGGGTTCAATTTTGGTCAAGGGCACGTACCTCGGTTGTGGTTCATCCCTGGCCCTGGTTGAGGTTGTGCGGGAGGCAACCAATCAGTGTGTCTCTCACATCGATGTTTCTCTCGCTTTCTCCCACCCTCCCTTCCACTCTATCTAAAGATAAATGGAAAAAATAGCCTCAGGTGAGGATTAAAAGAAATTTGGAGCAAGGAAGAGGGTAAAGTTCACCTTATGACATAGCATGGCTGGGAGAATTCCTGGCCATGCTCCGGGTAAACAGAACACTTCCTCTCCCCCCCCCCCCAAAAAAAATGAGAAGATTAAAACAACAACAACAACAACAAAAAACAGAACAAACAACACACACACAGAGGAAATACTCTCTTCCTGGAACATGCCCCAGCTTCGCTCGACTTGTTACTCAGGAGTCCTTATACCCTCCATACATTCTTCAGGGTGCTCTCTGGACTCTGCCTCCTTCACGAAGCCTTCCTTGGTTTAAGAGCCATAAACTCTTTCCCTGCCACCCTCAGCCCCAGTACTCAGGGGTGTAACAAGCAGAGGTCCCCAAGTTTTCAGCAATAAGTCCTGGCTGTTCTAATGTCCTGTTATGGGGCCTTGGGAAAGTTGTTTCATTTCTTACGGTGTTTCCTCATCCATGAAGGGGATGATGATAATATCTGCCTCGTAGGTTTGTTAAGGTTAAATGAGGAAAAATAGAATTGCTCAGTATATCATTCTTTGTGCTTCTCATTTACCTTGCTTTATAGATGACTACCCACTGCAGGTCCTGGAACATAGCAGGCACAAGATGTGTCCTAAGTTAATGAAATCACAGGAGAACTCTTCCTTCTGCAAAGCATCTCCAAGCTTTGTAGCTGTAACACGAGTTGCAATCACCCCTTTGAATTGCACTTTTCCAAATTGTTTTTTATTTTAATGACCAAACGTACTTATTGAAATGGAGAAACTCTTGCTTAATTATGATATTATGTCAGCATCACATAGCCCAGGCATTTTGTAATTTATAATCCCAATTCTGTCATTAGCATGGGGTAAATTATACTGGAAATGAATGTTAATTGGAACCTTTGCCTTTGGAAGAAAATGTTGAAATTCAAGTCTAGGAGGGGAAAGGGGGTGAGGTAGGCCCTTATTAAAAACCAGGCACAATGCTCATGGTTTACTTGGGCTACTTCTGAGCTGCTATTCTCCACGTTTCATAGATGGGGAAAGGTAGGTAACTTCCCCAGCCTCCCAGTCCAATAAGTAGAAGGGCCAGGGGTCAGATTCACATTTGTCAGACTGCACAACGCTTCCCTATCTTGCAGTCCTGGAAGGTGAGGCCAGTCATGGTCTTTTAGGGAAGCTGAGGTTGACTTAATATAACCCTTGCCTCCAACTTCTGTATAGATATTTCAAAATGAACGTAGGTGCTTCGGGCCAGTCAGTAATGCGTGGGGCAGCCTGTCTCAGTCATCATGGTGGAAATGCTGGCCTGGAGTCGGCTCCACTGGGGTCATTGCACTCTGTGTGGAGCCAGCGGGGGGCTGTTCTGACTCTGGATGAAACGCAGGAGAGAGCAGGGAAATGATTAAAACCAAAGCAAAATGAAGTCATCCTAGTTAAAAACTGGCCCTGTGATATGAAAGGTAGAACCTGAGGAGAAGGAAGTAGAAATGACCAGGTAACCATAGGCTATTTTTTTCTTCGTTGAAAAAATGTGCTTATCTATTTTGCAATTACCTTGTTGCCTATAAGCAAAGATGCTCATTTTACAGTGTTTCCATGTTAACGTTTCCCTCATTAATCTTGCATTCTATAGCAATATGATATTACTTTATCTGACCTACATCAGCCAATGCTTGTTAGTCTGTTGAAAAGCAAGAGAAATAACGTTGAGGCTCGGCTGGTCCACCTGATACCCGAGCTCTGCTTTCTAACAGGTAATGTTTATGTTTTATACTCTAGTAGGTTCTTGGTCGCAGGCTTCTGATACTTAGCAGTGGGCACGGCCTCTTCAGTTAGCTGAGTGCTGGGGCATTCATTCAACCCGTGGAGGACGGACCCTGAAGTAATTTATTTGATAGCAGAGAAGGCGGGAGGAGGGAGTGCCCTTTGGAAATTGCTTGGCCCAGTAAAGGTCACCTGTTTCCTTTATCTTGTGTATTCCATTTGTTATTTTGATGTAAAATAGACCTCAGGTGTTTTCCAAAAACTAAGCTGCTGCTCTTCATTTTTTGAACTTCACTAGTTTAGGAAGTGATATGACCGTCTCTTCCGGCAGACTGAGTGTGCCAGAATGCACCTACTTTTCTTTTTTTTCAAAAGCTTCTTTTTATTTATTTATTTATTTATTTATTTATTTTTAAAGGTTTTTTTCCCCTTGTTTATTGATTTTAGAGAGGAAGTTAGGGGGAGAGAGAGATAGAAACATATGAGAGAGAACATCGATTGGCCGCCTCCTGCATGCCCCCCCCGGGGGTCAGACCCACAACCTGGGCATGTGTCCTGACCGGGAATTGAACCCGTGACTTCTTGGTGCGTGGGTTGACACTCAGCCACTGAGCCACGCCAGCCGACCTTCTTTTCTTTTTGCATGTGCTTCCAGAAGGCAGTCTTCACCTGATAGTAGAATCTGAGTAACTGTCTCAAGTACTTTTGATCGTGTTCATTTGATTAACAGGATGGGACTAAGAAGGGAGGACTCTCTTCTTTATACATTTCTGTATTGCTCAAATCAGGCGTGGTGTGTATGTGTTTACTTTGCGATTGTAAATCTCATAAGGATATATTCCTTGAAGGAGGGATGCTCGTTCTTAGTGAAAGGCTGATATGCTCGATCTGCACAGCCCCACGGGGTGGCCAGTAGCCACCTGCGCTTACTGAGGGCTGGAGATGTGGCTGGAGGAGTGAGGGCATGGGGGGGGATGTGCTGTGACTGTGACGTGCACAGGTTCCTAGACACTATGAAAAGAGGGAAAATAACTCAGTTTTTTATATTGATTACATATTGGAATGATATTTTGGATAGAGTTAGATAATATATACTATTTAAAATCATTTCATCTGTTTCTTTTTTGTTTTTAAACACGGCCACTAGAAAAGTTAAAATGGCACACGTGGCTTGCATTTCTGTGGAGATGCTGTCAAGATGCTGAATCTGATTCCGTCTCAGTGAAAAGCTTGCACGGTGCCTGAGATGGGCCGGGGTTACATTGCAGACTGTTCACCTTTTCCAGTTTATTTTTGTTTACATTCAATAGGACTGTCCAGCCAGGTGACCTCTGATTTCCAACTGATGAAGGCTGTGGCTGAGAAAACGTGGCTCAGTCCCATAGGAAGGCAGCAGCGCCTGGCCAGGCTTGCTGATGACATCCAGAGGTACGGGCGTGCCTCGCGGGGACCGGACTGTGCCCACCTGAGGCCTAGTTCATACACTTGGGTGACCTGTGGAATGTTTTATTTCCTGATGAAAATGTCTCATTCCCATTGACTCAGAGAAAGGCACCTTAGAACTGTGTTGTCCAGGACCAGAGGTTCACCCAGGATACCCCAGGACTGCAGGTTGAGGGGAGGCGGTGAGGGCTGTGCTGGCAGAAGTACCCCCCCCAAGCTGCTTCAAGTAGATGGCTCTGCTCTCATCCATTCCCTACAGGGAGGTTCTGGATAGAAGTCTGAATGAAGGAAGGGCTGTCATTTAAAAAACAAGATCCTCAGGAGGGGTAGGCAGGGGTGGGTGGATGTGGACAAAGGAGGGGAGAAAGGGGAACCCCTACAACAAAGTCAACATTAAAAATATTTAATAAAAATAGATAAATAAAATAAAAATTTTAAAAATTACTAAGAAATAAGGACCCCCGCTATAACTCCCCCCCAAATCCTCCAAAACAGCCACTCCAGGCCCCCGGTATTCAGACTGTAGGAGTGGCCTCAGCACCCTGATCACGAGGAAAACCCCCCTCTTCCTCAGGAACACCTTCGGGCCCTGCAGCTCAGCCTGCCCGTTCCCAGACAGCCTCCTGCCCTCCTCGTGGACAATTAGCTGTAACTCGTGGTGGGAGGATCGAGCTTCTCCCTGGTTCTCCCTTCTGACCGAACGCTTCACTGGCTAGAACTGTAGCCGCCTGCGGCTCTCGGGCCCTTAAAATGTGGTTAATGCCACATCTTGGAATGGTTACATTTTGGGTAAATTGGGTTAAATAATGTATATCTAAAAAATAATTTTACTTTTTAATTTTTACTGCAGCTACTGGAAAATTTTGCATTACATGTGTGGCTTGCTTTATATTGCAACTGGGTAACATTGTTGTACGATGATCTTTTTTTTTAAAGATGAAAAAATTTGGAGGAGGAATTTAGAAATTTACATAAAAAAGAAAGAGGTGTGTGTATATCTATAAAGTTTGTTTAAGAAATGAATGAATCACAGTTAAAGGAAGGGTGTACATTCTTTCAGATATTTTCAAATGCATATAATCATGTTTTGTTTTTAGGAAAACGGCTGAGCTCTGTACATCATGTTTTGTAACTTGCTTTTTTTTAACGTTTTCATATGATGAATGTGCATCTCTGTTATCATGCTCGTGGTTTCATACATTCTTATTTTATGGCGACACTTTATGTCATTTATCCTGGACACCCCCCAAACTTATTCCTGCTTGAGAGTAAGTTATTCCTACTTGTCCCTGGTTCTCTCCCCTTAGACCAGCTACGGATTAGTCCTCCTGACACATCTGTCTTCCACCATCCAGTGATCTCATTTATTTCAACCCCATGTCCTGACCAGTGATCACCTCACCTTCTCACCTTGGACAGATAGTATCTGAAGCAAAACAATTAATTTAAAGTATTCAGCGTGACCAGACTAGACACAACATGAGTAGATGGAATTAAGGAGCTGTTGGGGAGAGTCAGTGGTAAAAAGGTTTGAGCTCCCCTAAAGAGAGGGAAGCTTTGATAGGTAAATCAAAGCAGGAATTGCATCGGTCCCCTTTGTGAGTCTGGCTTACCATGTAGGGGCTACTGTATAACAGGTGCCAGGACCCAGAGTCAGTGAGATTGCTCTCCTCAAGGAGCTTACAGCTTGATAGAGGTGACCATATATCATCATCCGAGATAAAACATAAACTGTGATTTTTTATTAAGTTATAAATTTAAAGCACTGTGCAAATATAAAGTGGTTATTATTACTAATACTACTATTCTCCACTTAGTCTTCCCTGTCTATCCTGTGAATCTTCTGAAGCATTAGGTCCTTATGTTCCCTTCCTGTACATCCTCCATTTACTCCCGAGCCACACATTCAGATATTCCCAGAAGACATCTCCACATGCCCAGGCTCCACAATAGCTCTGTATTAAGTTCATTATCAGGAATACTATGTCACGTTTATTGAGCACGTAGCATGTGCCCGGCTCTAGGGTAGCCCTTTCTGTGTATTGTTGTATTTAATCTTTATATCCACCTTATGAAGCGCTAGCTTAATTATCCCTACATTTTGCCAGTAAGGAAACCACAGATTAAAAATTTTAAGAGTTTACTCAAGGTCACGTATTATTAAATGTCAGCACTAGGTGTGAAACCCTGGGCTGTCTGGCTCTGAGGCCCATTCTGCCCCACTGTGTTGCACTGGAAGCCTTTCTGCCCCCCAGTCCCAGGTGGGCACAGCCCCGTAATTCTTTTGAGCAGGAATAAAAAACATGAGTGAGAAGTCAGGATCCTAAAACAAACATCAATCTCTGAATAATTCAGTAAGTTATCAATCTGTCTCTAATGATTAAAATTCTTTTTTTTTATCCTCACCCGAGGACATTTTTTTGTTTTTGTTGTTGTTGTTCAGATAGAGTGGGAGGGAGAGAGAGGAAGAAAGAGAGAGAGAGACATCGACGTGAAAGGGACACATCGAGTGGTTGCCACCCGCATGATTGAACCAGGGCCGGGGACAAACTGCAACCGAGTTACATGCCCTTAACAGGAACCGAACCTGGGTCTCTCCGGACCGCAGGCTGATGCTCTACCTGCTGAGCCAAACCAGCCAGGGCTAATGATTAAAATTCTTTAGAAAATAAGCACGTTAATGACTTAAAACTCACCTCTATCAACAGAAACAAGGATGCTCGTCTTGAGCTGGAGACCTGGGGGCTGCATTTTGGATGCCAGATGTCACTGACTGGCCGGGTTGAACCTTCAGAAAAAATATTAATGCAAGACCACATAGTAAGTGCTGTGATTTTATTTTCATTCAACAGTATTTCTTGCACATGTGTAAGTTCTGTCATATGCCAGAGTGGCTAAGTGGGCTTGTAATAGTCCTTAGGTTTCTCTGTGGCCATGCTCATGTGTTCCCTTTGCCCCAAACCTTGGGTCCCCTCTGTTTTCCTTTTCAGTTTCAATGTCCTTGCGTGGGCTCAGCGCCACCCAGAGGGCATGGTTTATGTCAGGCAGTGTGAAGTGGTGTCACATTTAAAGACGCATTTAAAAAATGGCATTTCAACACTGGCTGGTTTGGCTCAGCGGTTAAAGCATCGGCCCGCAGACCAGAGAGTCCTGGGTTCGGTTCCTGCTAAGGGCACGTACCTTGGTTGCAGTTTGTCCCTGGCCCCGGTTGGGGTTGTGTGGGTGGCAGCCACTCAGTGTCTCTCTCACATCGATGTTTCTCTCTCTCTCCCTCCCTCTCTCCCTCCCGCTCTATCTGAAGACAAATGCAAAAATGTCCTCGGGTGAGGATAAAAAAAAAGGCATTTCAAGCCATTGTAATTAAATCATGCCTGCCTATTATTGGGTATTGTAGTACTCTAAGTCACTAAAAAAGAAAAAAAAAAAAAAAAGTTCATAGTACCTGGGAAAATTCTACTAACTGGTGAAGGTTACTTTCAATAAATTATGTTCCTTGATACCAGAGTTGTTTTTATCCCAAAATTAAATGCTGCTCGGTTGGCATAAACATGAAGAAATTCGCACAGAACTCATCCCCAGCTACAGCATTTAGGGAGAAAACATTCTGAAACTTCAAGAGACCAGTCATTGCTTCTTTAGGACTTCAGTTGAAGAAATGCGTTTATTTTATGCAAAATTGTGCATCATCTTTCTACTTTTCTCCTCATTTTAAAATACGGTTATATTTTATTTTATTTTAAAGGCTCTCTTCTTGCCTTCTTTGATACAATAAACTGAAATTTATTTTTTTTTATCCTCATCCGAGGACATTTTTCAATTTTTTGTTCAGATAGAGTGGGAGGGAAGGAGAGAGAGAAACATCGATGTGAAAGGGACACATCGAGTGGCTGCCACCTGCACGACCCAAGCAGAGCCGGGGACAAACTGCAACCGAGGTACATGCCCTTAGCGAGAACCGAACCCGGGTCTCTTGGGACCGCAGACCGACGCTCTAACAGCTGAGTCAAACCGGCCAGGGCTAAACTGACATTTTTAAACTCGTGTCAAAACTAATGTCTAAACGAATGTTTGTGTTAGCAGAATGGGGATTTTCTTCATCATTTCTTTTTGATAATTTTTTTCTAAACTGCCAAATCCTTATTGGAGAAGCTGAGGAAAAGCTACTTTTAAAAACAGAACATAATTTTGTAAAGGACTAAAATGTAGGCCCCGTTAGGACCTTGGTCAGGAGTCAGTAAAGAGAAACTCAATTTTAGCTGCACATATAAAGCAGGATTTCAGTATTTCAAATGATCTGTTTCCTCATCTCCACAGGTAAAGTCCTGTTTGTCAGAGCTTCTCTTGCATTTTGGGGGCATGGAAACAGGTCTCCATAGAAGGAGCACTAAAATGGAAGAGGCTGCCCCCTAGAGGTGGGGGGGGGGATGGCTAGAGATGACTGGGTCGTGGACTTCTTGACAAGTTCGGCTTTTCTGAATTTGGGTTCTGGGAAATGAGTAAACTAAAGGTTCATGGACCTCAGAGTGGGCGTTCGGCATTTGCCCTGGGTCCTGCCAGCCCTTAACAGATGGGAGTGTAGCTGTGAGGGCCACGGCTCTCCTCACACTGACTGTAATGGGGAGGAAGAAACCTTGTCTTTGGATAGAACATTCATGGGGGCGGGGGGCGGGTGCGCCTAACCCTTCCCCTGCATTCCCAGGCTGAGGTCTCCTCCTGGAGCTGAGTCCCGGCCTAGCCCTAACGGCAAGGCATGTGAGGGTGGCTGGTGGTTGGACATCAGAGCTTGTGGTGGAAAGTGCCCTGGCTGCAGGGTCAGAAGACCAGCATTCTGCACCTGTCACTGCCACCGCTGGGCTCCACAGCCTTTCTCAGCCACAGCTTTGGAGTCTGTAAAACAAGGGGACGCTAATGCTTCTTAAACACTAATGTGCAGACGAATCACCTGGGAACTTACTGAAATGCAGAGCCTGACTCATGGGTCTGGGATGGGGCCCAGAACTCTGCATTTCTAACAGGCTCTCAGGAGATAGCAATGCTGCTACAAGACAGCACTTTGAGGAGCAGTGGATCAGATCACAGTGTGGTTCTTCCAAATCTAACAGTGGCTCTTCCCGACCCACCACACCAAAGACATTTCTGTTCAATTCCAGCCCACGGATATAAGCAGAAGATTAGTGACCAGTCTCAAGTCTCCCCTCTTCAGTGCAAGGAGCTTGTTTTTCCTGGCCATCTGGGGAACCTCCTTTGCTCTTAGATGTAGCTACTCCTTGCATAAATATAATCAAACCCTGTAGGGTTTGCTGGTTTTAGTATGAGGACCTGGAGTATCGTGATCAGCATTTTCTGTTTGAGCTACCAAATGCCTAGAGCTGAGACCAAATTGGACAGCCCGCTGGCCTGAGCCGTTCTTAATCAGGGTCAGAGATTCTTAGAGCTGCAAGGGGACCTAGAAATCTTTGAACCAGATCCCTTTTTTTGCACACAGAGGAGGCCTGTGAAGTAAAGGCACTAGTTTAAGGCTCTGTAGCCAGGGAGAGGCTGACCAGGGATGATGCTCAAGTGCCTCCACTCCCAGGAAACACATGCTTTCTGCTCGATGCACACAGCTTATCTCACGGTTTCAAGTCTGAGTAGCAGACTGTCCCAAATAGCCCTCTTATGACAAATGTGGACCTCTTCACACTGTCTTTATTGAATGGCTTTCTGAATAAAATGTTCAACGCTATCATGATCATTATTTTTCCCAGTGTCAACCTGTGTCTGCTGCTGATTGGTCCAAGGATATTCGAACTTGCAAGATTTTAAGTGCACAGTCTCTGAATAAATGGTTGATTATATGTAGCAACAGAGATGAAAACGTGACTGAGAACTTTCTGAGCTGCTTGAGAAGAGTTGGAAGTTCCATGGGGTTTAATGTGGACTACCCCAAAATGTGAGAATGGACGGAAAGTCATCCCAACCCTCTTTGTATATTAGTTTGGTTTGGTTAGAAGATAGGAAATAAGGGCTGACGTAGCTATAAAAGCTTCTTTATCTCGGTCAAGTTTCCTAATATAAGTGCCAAGAAAATGGTTATAAGTAAATAGATTTTTGCAAAGATTAAAATTTTTTATACAGTTAAAATATATTTTATGTTGGTCTTTGTAAAACTTTGTTTGCCAGTACTTTAGGCAATTATCTCATTACCTCAAAGTCTTTTTAGTACTAATTCAGGTATAAATCCATATATTGCCTTCTCAACTTTTTTCTTTAATTCTTTCATATTAGTTATTTATAAAACTTAATAGCAAACAGGATATTTTAAAAAGTGTCATTTTCTGACTTGATACATTTTATGCTTTATAATTGAATGTAAAAATAGATCTGAGCCCTGGCCGATTTGGCTCAGCAGTTAGAGTGTAGGCCTGTGGACTGAAGAGTCTCAGGTTTGATTTCCGGTCAAGGGCACATCATACCTCGGTTTTGGGTTTGATCCCAGCCCTGGTCGGGGTCATGTGGGAGGCAACCAATAGATGTGGCTCTTCACATGGATGTTTCTCTCTCCCCTCCCATTCTATCTGAAAAAACAAAAAAATCAATGGAAAAATATCGGGTGAGGATTAAAACAAACAAACACAAAGAAGATTTGAAATAAGCTTTTCTGATTCTGTTACTATAGCATAAAATTAGTCATTTAGATAGTTTTCTGATGAAACTAGGTCATTCATTTAGTTTTTGAACACTTATTATCTGTTAGATACTATGACAGTTGGGGGAATGAGAAAGATAAATAAGTTGCTTTCAGTTTACTAAGGGATCCATATGTAACAAGTACACTCCAAACTGAATATTGTTTTGCTTTAGAAAAGTCAGAAAGTTGGTCATGCCTCGTTTTATTGAGCTTGATATGCTTAGTAAGGAGCAACAGACACTTCTTTTTCTTTGTCATGATGGAGATGCAGATATCCTCATTGGCAGGGTGGGAAATTACTCTTTAAACCCATGGTTGCTGATTAATTATATCAGCAGTACAAGCATTGTTGAAAACCACAGATACTCCCAAAGTCTCATTTTACACCGCAGTTTAGAATTCTCTTATCAAATCTGTTGACAGGTTGCCTGGTTTTGAGTTTCACCTGCTCTAGTTTCTCTCAAACCATGAGCTAGTTAATAAGGCAGGGAAAGATTAATGCTGGAAGTCACAGTCAGCAGACCTTGGGCCGTTATCTTTCTCACACCAATTCCATGAGCAAGCTCGTGTCCATGTTCTCTTCCTGGCCTGTTTTATTTGAAAGCCCGTTTTTTATTACATCCTTTCTTCTCCCATGAAGTATCCGTTTACCCATTAGATTTCTATGCATAGTTTCTGCCGTTGGAAACATTTGCCAGATGACTTTAGGACTGGACAGTAAGATAGCAGTTGAGTCTGCATTCAAGAGATTGAATTGGAAAAATCAGAAGCATGTGGTGGTTTTAACAGAGCTGTAAGCTTTCCTACAGCTCAGTTGGAATCAGCAAGCAGGAGACAATGGTCCTGCCCCCTGCTGGGCAAGTTTTAAATGGCCACTGGGCATTGACTAGGACAGTCCAATCATCTACACTCAACAGAGGCTGATTCTACATAAAGGAAGTGGATTTAGAAATGCCTCTGTGTGGGAATTATTTCTGAAACCTCTGGCCCCTAACTTAATGTAAGCGTACAACAGATAATTGATAAGTAATTGCTGACTGATTGAGTAAGGCTAAGTATTCCAGGTTCCAAAGGAATTGTCACAGAGGAGAAAAAAAATCTTTTAGTCTGAACCATACAGGTTCAAGATTAGCTGAATATTTGGCTTCAAACCTGATGACTTTTGAAACATTCATTTTAAAGTTCTTATGGAGATTGGATACTAGAGAAATCTTAATTCAGTTTAATTTGAACCCTGTTTCAGACACCTGATATTGAGACTTGTGATTTCAAAAGTTCACTTTCAACCTCATTTTGAGCAACAGCATTATTAATTGTAGGGATTCCATACAATTCAGAAAATTTTACTTTCCACAAGACTATTTATTAAGTTAATAAAAATGGTTATTAGATATTTCTGGCATATCTTGGAGTAGGAGAAATAATTTTAGACTTAAAAAAGTTGTCACTTTTCTATAATTTTTTAAATTGCCAATCTGTTATAAAAAACCCACTTGTATTATTTTAACTCCATATGATTATGTGCTAGAAATAAGGGGATTTTATATCTTCAAAATTAATCTTTTTATAGCATAAAAGTCCAGGAAAGTCCAGCTGCATTTCTTGGTGCTATACAGAAACACGTTGATCCTTATGTTCAGCTGGTGAGTACAAGATCATTTTTGTGTTTTGATGTATAATTTTTATTTTTTGTTATATCTAACAGTTTTGAAAGAAGGAATTTGACTATGATCTCCCATGAGATGTTTACATGCATTTCCCCAAGCACCCAAGAAAGTATTCATCTTAATCAACATTTTATTTTTCTTTCATATTTCTAACATTAATTTAAAGATACCTGTTGTTACCCCTATATCAGCCTCTTGGGTGTCTACATATATTTCCACTTGTTGGGGGAGTTCATCCTTCACTTAAGATTTAAGATAGTGCCCGGCCAGTGTGGGTCAGTGGTTGAGCGTCTACCCATGTACCAGGAGGTCACCGGTTCGATTCCCAGTCAGGTTGTGGGCCTGATCCCCAGAGGGGGGCATGCAGGAGGTGGCCAGTTGATGTTCTCAGCAATGTTTCTACCTCTTTCTCCCTCTCCCTTCCTTTCTCTCTCTCTAAAATCAATAAAGAAAAATAAATAAATAAAGTAAAAAAGATTTAAGATACTGACACTCATTCTTCCCAGTGGTTCAGGGATTCTTGCAGGGTTTGGGTTTTTCCACGTCACTTGTGGCCCCATGTTCCTGCTTCCTCTAAATTCTCGCCTTCCTGTGTATGTTTCATCTTTTGTGAATGCCATTTCCTCCTGCAGTGCATCACCCTGTGGGATTTCCACTGTGTGTGTGTGTGGTGTGAGGCTGACCTTGCACAGGATTTGGGCCAGGGCATGATGACATCACATTCTAACATTGCAGCCAAGTTAAAATTGACAGCCCTGTTCTTAAAGACCTCTCATCCATTCCTGTTTCTTGGAAGTGTGTGCTCTTCTCCGAGGCCTCGGCCGCCACAGAGCTGCAGCGCATTTCCTGTCCCATCTCCTGGTTCCCTCCCCAGCTCATTCGCCCCAGCTCCCGATGCCTGTTCACATCGCATGCAAATCAGGTTAGCTCTTTTTAGGCACCCAAAAATGGTCCATAAGGATGTTGTATTAAACAAAGGAAATTCTCACCCTGAGAACATTTTTTTTTTTTTTTTTACTTAACAAAGTAAGATCATGCCCTGGCTAGTTTGGCTCAGCCGTTAGAGCGTTGACCCGCAGGCCAATGAGTCTTGGGTTTGATTCCGGTCAAGAGCATGTACCTTGGTTACAGTTCGTCCCCAGCCCTGGTCAGGGTCATGCCGGAGGCAACTAGTTGATGAGTGCCTCTCACGTCGATGTTTCTCTATCTTCCTCTCTCTCCCTTCCTCCTACTCTATCTGAAGATAAATAGAAAAATATCCTCAGGTGAGAATTACAAAAAAAAAGATCAGCCCTGGCCAGTGTGGCTCATTTGGTTGGAGTATTGGCCCGTGCACCACAGGGTTGCAGATTTGACTCCCGGTCGAGGCACATACCCAAGCTTTAGTACCCCTGGACAGGGTGCATAGAGGAGGCAATCGATTGATGTTTCTCTTTCACGTCCATGCCTCTCCCTCTCTCTCCCCCTTCCCTCTCTCTCTAAAGTCAATTTAAAAACCAAATAATGCAGTAAAATAAAACTTACAGAAAAGTTGCTAGTATCCAAAACTCCCATACACCCTTCACCCAGATTCCCCAATTGTTGACATTTTGTCATATTTGCTTTATTACTGTCATCTGTCTGTCTGTCTATCTGTTTTTTCCAAAATCATTTGAATTAAGTTACAGACTCGACATTCCATTAACCCTTGAGTACTTTAGTTTATACTCCATACAAACAAGTCACTGTCCTGCGGAACCAAAGGACAACCATGAACATTTCTCCACTTATCTCCAAAATGCCCTCTCTAGTGAAAGGCTATAACGTGTTGTCCTGTCTCTTCAGTCTCGCGTGCACTCTGAAACAGTTCTGTAGTTTTTCCTTGCCTTTGATGACCTTCTAATTTTGAAGAGCATAGATCAGTATTTTATATAATGTCCCTCAGTCTGGGTTTGTCTGATGTTTCCTTACGATTAAATTCAGGTTATGCACTTCGGGCAGAAGTAGGATTCTGTGTTCCTACTGCATCCTGCCAGGGTACCCCATTGATTAAGGTGGTGTACCTGTCGAGTTTCTCCACTGTAAAGTTACTCTTTTTCTCTTTGTAATTAATTAGGTTTGTTTGCTTTTCTTGTTTTTGTTTTTTTGGTAGGGAGATATTTTGAGACTATGTAAATATCTGTTCCTCATCAAAGTCTGACCCACTAGTTTTAGAATCCATTGGTAATTCTTGTCTGAATCCACTGTTACTCTGAAGGTTGCCAGATGGTGGCCCTTCTGCTTCCACACTGACTGGGGGGCACTATGTCATAAAGAAAAGCTTTCTTTTCTCTCCATTTCTCTGTTCTTCTACTATATCAGTATGGGTTCCTATTTTATTTACTAACTTATAGTTTGTTACTACTGTTTACTTTGATGCCCAAATTGTCCCTGCTTTTCCAGTGAGAGCCCCATTCCAGCTGGCCTCTGTGTTTCTTTGACACATCCATTGTTTTTGGAACACGTCCTTACTGTCGGACACAATGAGATATTCCAGGTTAACCCTGAAGTTTTGCTGCTCGGCTCTGGAATCAGCCATTTCTCAAATAAGCCCTGATTCCTCTGGATAGAGAACAGTATTTGGAAACCAGGATCTGGGCATTGGATGTGCTCATTTGCTACTGGATTGTCCCTGTCCTAGGCTTTTTCAGTGGGCAAAGCTAGGGCAGATACATGTATGTATGTGTCTACATATACATATATTACACACAACTACATCTACCTTATTATTATATGCATCTATGTATATATTAAAAAAATGTTCAAACCTCCAGTTCCAATTCAATATCACGAAGAAAGCATTCTCTGTTTCCAAATATGTACCCCTTCTTCTCTGATAGTGAGAGCATGGCTGCTATTATTTTCTAAATATTTGCTTCCTTCTCTATCTCTGGTGTGTAACGTATCTCTCTTGGCTCCCACCTGCTTTTGGCCCTGGTTCCCTTGGGCCACTTCCTTTTCCGCCACTTGCCTTGCTTGGCCTCAGACTCACGGCGTGGAAGGAAGGAAGGCTCCTAAGAGAATTTTGCTGACAGTTTAAAAATACCTTTTCCTACTTGATATGTGTAAATACTGTCAGCCCTTATCATTACAATTTTGAACAGGTGAAAATATCACTTTGTTTTATTTTTTTAAAATATGTTTTTATTGATTTTTTTAGAAAGAGGGAGGGAGAGAGAAACATCGATGTGAGAGGAAACATCTATCGGCTGCCTCCTGCACGCCCCCTACTGGGGATCGAGCCCACAGCCTGGGCTCCCTGACTGGGAATCGAACCGGGACCTCTCAGTCCATGGGACAGCGTTCAGTCCACTGGGCCACCCTGGCTGGGCTTATGTGTTTTCTTTTGCTAATCATGACAGTGCTTATCTTTTGCGCAATTTTGGGGTTCTGAAGGCAGAGAGTAGAAGATAGAAAGGAGAGAGAGGTAGTCAAGGGGAGATCCTCTGTGAGGGAAGTGCCTGCTGAGTAGGGGCCGAGACAGATGGGTGGCATTAGAAATAGTGGGGCCTGAATTTCTTGCTTCTTATTCTTTCTCCTCCCATATCCCTGGTTTCAAGTACCAGTAAACAAAAAATATACTATTTCTGTTTCTTTTATTTTGGTTGTTCCGTACCCAATGGGGAAAAGGCCACAGTGTACGCCAATTCTTCTCTGTGGGTGAAGGGGGGGCAGAGGGAGGAGAGCTGGAGAGCCATAGAGGGGGTCATGGCAAAGAGGGGGGGCGGCTGGAGGAAGAGCTCCGTCAGAAGGGCGCTGCAGAATCAAACCAGGAGAGAAGGGAAGGGAAGGGGAAGCCAGGGGAGATGGGTAAGGCTGGACTGGGGCTTGGTGGAGCGGATGGCTGACGGGAAGCATTTCAAATGGCCTTGATTAATTGTCAAAGTTTCAAGGCCTGTAGGCATGGTCATATTTGCTTCTTGAGAACTTAAAGGCAAAAGATGTTTAGAGAATCCATGTATTCATTTAAAAAACACCTATTTCTAAGCATAAGAAGTAAATTGACTTATTTTTCTTTCCTTCCAGGTAATGTGTATTCTGCCTTCCACTCAGCAGAGCTATTATGAGTCCATCAAAAAGTACCTAAGCTCCGACTGCCCAGTCCCGAGCCAGTGCGTGCTTGCTCGGACCCTGAGTAAACAGGGAATGATGATGAGTATCGCCACCAGGATCGCCATGCAGATGACCTGTAAACTGGGAGGCGAGCTGTGGGCTGTCGAGATCCCTGTGAGGAATCTGTCACTCTTTTCCTTTTAGTCCTCAGTCCATTGATTAATTCATTTTTATAATGAAATCCAAGTAGGAGATGTTTTTACAGGATCCCAGAGGGACTCGTTTTGCTTGTTGCCCTCTGTGGTGGGTTGGCATTGCACAAGCCACCGTGGGGTGTGCAGAGCTGAGGCATGGCCCTGTTCTCAAGTTAGGCTGATAACAACAGTTCATGGAAGCGGCTCTAGTTTGGCATAGACTTGGAGGGACTTGATGTGGAGCTTCCTGGCAGCTGTTTAAACCTGTGTTCCACGGCCTCTGCCTGTGCCTGCTTCCATAAGGTGCTCTCAGAGTAGCCTTGCACCCTGGATGTGCCTCCGGAAACCTTGGAGAGCTGGCAGGGCCTATGGCTGTACCTCCAAACTGTGTGGGGAACTGAGAAAGTCCTCTTCTCTTTCCTGAACTGTGGCCACTGTGGGAGGAAGTGAGGGGATGAAAAATGAGGGAATGTTGCTCATTCCCTTCCGTTTCCACGAGCAGGGTGTGTGGGGTGACCTCCAGTTGCCCCTCCTGCAGGTGCATAGCCAGGTGAGCATTCCTTAGAGACCCGCAGAAAGGGGACTGGGATTCCTCTTCAGATTCCTTCAGCCCCGGGGCAAGGGATAAAAGGACTAAGCACTTTCCCAGAATCCTTTGAACCACTGATGATCCACAAAGGATCATCTCCACAAAGGGTCGTTGCTATTTTGGACTGTAGTGAGTCTCTTAGGCAAAGTATGTAGCACACTCTTCCCTTCATCTTGAAGTCTCTTTGGTTTCTGCTTTAATAATCTGCTTCACCTGGACCTTGATCTTCCTGGCACAGAGCTTAACTTGAATAGTTAAGTAACTAGGGATACTTTTAAAAATTTTGATCTTAGGTCATTATTTGGGGAAATAATACCTCATCCCATTAAATCATGAAAAATTTAATTTTACAGTTGAAGTCGCTGATGGTAGTTGGCATTGATGTCTGTAAAGATGCATTCAACAAGGGGATGGTGGTGATTGGATTTGTGGCCAGTATTAACCTCAGAATCACCAGGTACTTTTATAGTTACCCTAATATTTTTCCATTATCTAGACTATTCATTGTGGTTTAAGTGAAGACTATACAGCAAGGAATAGTTTGTATTCTTGACTCATTTTAAAAATATGGACACTAATGGTCATAAATTATACTTACATATATAAATGTGATTGATAATATTGGGGTAATACATAGCCTTATTAAAAAACTATTTGTGTACATACGTTAGGACAAGCTATTGTTCATATGCCAGTCATATTCCCAAAGGTGGCCATGTACAAATTCGTGTGCATTATTTTTCTGAACATCTGCACTGTATTAGGCATTGTACTAGGAACTTTACATACATTGTGTCAAGCAGTTGAGAATCAAAATGCCTGGATTCAGGCTTGTTATTATTTTATTATTCTTAATGCTCGCAGACACTTGATATGGTGGCCGTTCACACAGCTATTAAAAACATAGGCAGGATTAGGGATGACACATTAAACATGAGCTCATAGTTCTTATTTAGTTGTAGTTCTTAGAACTGTTTCAGTATTTTAAACAATGCTTTGAGGCTGTAGGAGCTGTTGGCAAAATGTCTTCTTTCTAGACTTTAGCTGTTTGATTGACTCCATTAAATTGGTGGTCGGATATGTATCTGGGATTGTGGGAAACAGGAAAAACAACAGCATGCCTCCAACTTCATCCCGGGTTGAAAGAGGTTCCTATTACATGTGTGACTTCCCTGATAAGCAGATGAAGGGTGGGCAGCAAGTCAGCAGCATCCTGCTTGCGTCATTGTTGCTTATATTTAGAGAACTTTAATAATGTCGACAGCACACTTGTTACTGTAGGATCTTCATTTTCTAAGTGCTTTAAATTATTGGATGACTTCAGCAAGAAAACTTGTTTCTGAAATTCAAGTTAATCAGGTTAAGATTTTAAGTCCAAAAAGCTTACCAATAGAAGTGGAAGTTTATGCTTGAGAAATCTCTGACTTTTGAAAATAAAAGATCTACTCTGCTTAACTGATGCATTTCTTTTTTTTTTTTTTTTTATCCTCACCCAAGGACATTTTTCCATTTTTTTGTACAGATAGAGTGGGAGGGAGAGAGAGGAAGAGATAGAGAGAGAGAAACATCGACGTGAAAGGGACACATCGAGTGGCTGCCACCGCACGACCAACCAGGGTCGGGGACAAACTGCAACTGAAGTACGTGCCCTTAGCGGGAACCGAACCCGGGTCTCTCCGGACCGCAGGCCGACGCTCTAACCACTGAGCAAACCGGCCAGGGCCATTTCTTTATAATAATAACACAAAGGCCTCTGTTAGTGCTCATTATGTGTCCAGTGCTGTACTAGGCACTTTACATATATTATCTAATTTAATTTTTACAGTAACCCTATGAGGTAGTAACCATCATACCATCTTGTGAATTTCCTTGTTACAGGTGAGGAAGCGGGAGCGTAGGTTCACGTAGCAAAGTCACATAATTGATGAGGACGCCAGCCAGGATTTGAACCCAGATGTGTCTGATGTCAGCACAATGCTTTAGTTTCTCTTTTCGATACATTTTATTTGGGGGGGAGGGTGGGTTTTTCATATAATTGTGACCCTATAGCATATATAAAATTATGAACAATGTTGACTTTTACGCATAATGTTGATTTCTTAATTTAACCCTAATACATGATTATTGTAGACGTTTTTGAACTTTTGTTCTTCGCTTACATTAGGTGGTTTTCCCGCTGTATCCTTCAGAGAACCACCACGGAGGTTGCAGACTGCTTAAAAGTTTTCATGATAGGTACTAAAACCACAGTGGCGGGGGTGGGCTCCAAGGACTATTCCTTCAGACCCGAAGTCCACGTGCCCACAGGAGACCCGATAGGAGGAAGCAAGCTCCCAAGCCTGCCTGAGTCAGTGGGCAGCCAGTTGCAGGTCCCCAGACCTGTGTCCTGACTCAGGCTAGCAGTCAGACTGTAGAATTCCCATTGCTGTCTGCGTGTGATAAACGAAAGCCAGGAGGAGTTTGTGGCTGCTGGTGGCTCTGGCAAGTCGTTTGAAGGCCAGAAAAGTGTTCCCTAGAGGAACAGGGATTATGACAGAACACTGTTAGGTCTAGGAATAGGAGAGATGTCTTTGGGGGTGTTAGCAGGTACAGTGTGGCACAGAGGAGAAGATGGGAAGACGGAGCAGGCGGGGAGGGTGTGGTGTGGGGGAAAGAGGGACCCGGGGTTCCCACCCCTCGCCAGCCTGGCCCGGATCCAGATCTGGCGTTGTCACTCCTGAGGCGTGTGCCTGGGCACCTCCCTCCCTCCCGTGACCTGCGTTTTCCCATCCATGAACTTTGGAGGATTGTCAAGATTTTTTTTTTCCTAAAAAAGTGAATTTGGTGGTGTGTGTTTGTAATGGATTTACATATGTGATCCTGTTCTATCAAATTAAAATTAATTTCCTGGACGATTAATACAGTTATATATACACAAAAAGAATAATTGCATCTTTATTGTATTATTCTGTCATTTTCCTCTCACTTCAAACCTGGTCATTTTTTTAGTAGTTATGGAAGTTTCTGCTGGTTGGTTTTTACTCTCTGGTCTCTGCTGTTTAGATGATTTCTAGTTAGAGTGGGTGGGGATGTTTCTAAAGTTCATATTGCCAGTGAGACTTGGCTTCTAGTTGGGTGAGTCTGTGTGGAAAGATGCTTTCAAAGGAGCAGCCAAGTTCTTTCCTATGTTTTCATATTTATGCTCTTTAGAGAAGAAAATGACCTAAATGTATCCAGTCTGTTTATTGAGAGGATTTAAAAACTTGAAGAAACTAAATGTGTTTGTTCATTTGGTTTGGGGAATTTGCATGTCTATTGCAGGAATTAAATCTTAATTTATTGCTTAAATATTAACATTTTACTGAAGCAATGTGCTAAGTTTAAGAATCTATTTTTCCATAGAAACCATTATGATTCCTCAAATAGTGAAGAGGCAGGAATGTTCCCTAAAGTTACTGTTTTTATGTTATGGCAAATACAACCTAAATTAGGTATACTCTCTTTCACAAGAGAGAAATAGCAAATTTATGTAAACATTGAAACTTAATGGGAATTTTATTCTTTGTTGGCGTTGGACAAGTCATCCTTCCCTTACACCAACCTCTGCAGGAGCCCTCAACAAATGGTACGAGTGCAACCGAGGTCTCCCCGCACGGATTATTGTGTACCGCGATGGTGTGGGCAACGGTCAGCTAAAAACGCTCATTGAATACGAAGTTCCACAGCTGCTGAGCAGCCTGACAGAAGCGAGTTCAGATACCAGGTATTAAATTGTTCTTTCTCCACACTCCCAATGATAGCGCATTTGTCGTAGCTGTTAGAATTATGATACGTGGGCACATCATGTTCTGTGCAGTTACGTTTTGCTCTATTTCTGCATGTGGGTGGATTGATTGCCCCTAGATTGGAGAGTAGTCGGGTTGGTCTCACTGTAAATAGCCTGGGTGGTGTGAGCTTTGGGGGCCTGGGGCGGTGGCACCTGGAGGAAGGCGGTGTCATGCTCCAGGTGAAGATGCCTCGTGCCTATCAACATGCCGTGGGAGAAAACAAGCTGTGGCTTCTAATTCAAGGCTCAGATCCACACACAGGCTGACCCTGTGAGGTGCAGGCAGTGAGTGCAGCAGGTACAAGGAGTGAGCTCTGTGACTGCTGAGCTGCACGGGGAATCAGACCCTCTAGAACACCAGGCACCTCGCTGCATTGCCGCGTGTCTAGAGCCCATGTTCCACCACTATGTCAAGTGCAAGAAAAATACTAGAACTGGAAAAGGAGAGGATGATAATCTTAAAATATGCAGAAAGCATCTTCTTCCAAGCAGTGCACAGCACTCCACCTGTAGGGCTACCCCACCATCGCCACCATCAGCCAAGAGCCTGAACGGAGCTGTCGTGACCCCCTCAGTGACTGTAGGAGGGAGAGCAGGAGAGCTCAGGGCAAGATCACCTTCAGCTGCATCCAGAGGGTCAGAGCCCAAATCTCTGGCTCCTCACTGAGCTCAGCTGATTGTTTCTATTCAGAGTCACAAGTATGCAATTTAGGGATCACTGAGGGTGCTCAGGAGTTCATTTTCTTACACGAGGACATCAACTTTTAAGTCTCAGTATTGGAAACATTAAAAATATATTTTTCTTCCCAATATGTTTTTGTTGATTTTTAGAAGGGGGTGGGGGGAGAAAAATCAATGTGAGAGAAAAGTCAATCAGTTGCCTCCTGTACGCACCCTGACTGGGAATCAAACCTGAAACCTGGGCTTGTGCCTGACTGGGAATTAAACCATCAACCTTTCGGTGGACGGGATGATGCTCAACCAACTGAGCCACACCTGCCAGGGCAATGATATATATTTTAAATAATTAAAATGCTTAACGTGAAATTTCACGGTGACCTTTACATCTCAGAAGTTCCTTTCACGGTGGCCTTGGGTTTACCAAATGCTGACTTTAGCACTTGGTCATTCAGCATGTGACCCAAATGTATATTTGGTTCGTCCACCCATCCCCTCAGGAGTGTTTTGCTTGGTTCAGAAGCGGTGATTTGAGGAGGAAGAGGGACTTCTGTTCAGAAATTGAGAGGAAGGCTGAAGGTGAAAATGGGGGTACAGTTGCTAATGGGGAAAAAAAATCTTGTGTCCACAGATAATTCTGGAAAATCTTCTTTTAGAAGTACTAATTGAAATTCATTGTCCTATCGACCATTCCTCCCTGTCCCCTTTAAATGATAAGAACCAGCTGAATGACTGGACCTACCACACTTTCACAGCAAATGAAAACAATCCCTAATTTAAAAACTTCCGTGTGTCTCTGGGGGAGGAGAGACTGGGGGTGATTTTTATTTTCTTTGTTTTTGCAGTGTTTTTCTAATGAATTTATCCATTCATATATTCCATCAAAAATGACCAACTAAGAGAAATAGAAAGCTGCATGGCTTAGTTTTAGTTCTGTCTTATTTTTTTGTGTTTCTGGTTCCAAGCTCCAAGCTGTCGGTGATTGTGGTCAGGAAGAGGTGCATGCCACGGTTCTTCATGGAAATGGGCCACACCTTACAGAACCCGCCACTTGGCACCGTGGTGGATTCAGAAGCCACCCGTCCTGAATGGCAAGTGCTGTTAGGAAACCGACTTTTGACGAAACGTTCTCTGCATGCTGTTCAGGTTCGGCCTCATCTTGTTTGCCTTCTTTCTCACGTGCACTCCATTTCCCCCCCAGGTATGACTTCTACTTGGTCAGCCAGACCGCCTGTCGGGGCACTGTGAATCCCACCTACTATAATGTCATCTATGATGACAACGGCTTGAAGCCCGACCACATGCAGAGACTGACGTTCAAACTGTGCCATTTGTACTACAACTGGCCGGTGAGTGACATCTGTTTACTGATCCCTGAGTCCTGATACTCATGGTTCCCACCCAGGATTTGTTACTCAGTTAACCTTTGTATCTCTACAGCTAGCACAGTGCCTGACTTCACAAAGGAGGAATGAATGAATGAATAAATGAACGAACGACTCCTTAAGTCCATAGTGGGAGAAACAGAGTCTGTCTTAGAAATGAAATAGCAATAACTATTAATAGAATGTAATTATTATACTTTCCAGAGGACTTTATGATATACACTCATTATCTTACGCAAACCTGGGAGGAGATCAGGGTATTGTTATTTCCATGCCACAGCTGAGGTAGAAGCCAGCTCAGACGCCTGGTGGGAAAGGAGGGCGGCCCTGTTCTGTGTGCCCGTGCATGAGGCCAAGGTTTGTTCTGAGCCCCTTGGAACATTAAGTCGAAGGGAACATAAATTACCCGTAACTGTGGTAGCTCCCAGCTCCCAGCACCAGGATGACAGACTGGCCTTCTCCTCATTCTGCCCAGAGAGCATTCGCTCCCAGTGAGCAGGATGCCCTTGTTGGTTGAGTCTAGTGATTGTTGACTCACAAACATGTCCTATTGTGTATGTGACGAGTAGATGAAGAACCGGCTATCCTCTTAGTTACCACCCTACTTCTCCCTCTCAGGGCTTGATCAGTATCCCAGCACCGTGTCAGTATGCACACAAGCTGACCTTCCTCGTGGCACAGAGCATCCACAAAGAACCAAGTTTGGAATTAGCCAACTCCCTCTTCTACCTGTGATGACACGAACCATCGGACCATCGGCATCACCAGAGAGGCACCCCAGGGGGAGCCGGCGTACGCTTTGCAAGTCCGCCGTGAGCTCCAGGCTGTGACTGGGAAAGGAGATTGGGCTTGGCTTTCACTTCTGGGAAAAACAAAATGATTGAATCTAAAATGGTTTTAAAAAATGTATGTTGTTTTATTTTAAAGTTTATATGCTTGGGGTAAATTCTCATCGTGGTGTATTGAATTAAAATGTACCGTCACTTGTTAGTAATTCCTCGAAGCTGAATACTCGCTAAGAAAATAAGTGTTTGCATGATGTTTTGATGGGTAGGTAAACGGGGTCTAAATGTTTCAGAAGTTTTCTTAAACAATGTTATAGAGCATTTTGTAGAGTGGTTTAAATAGTTATTAGAAAATAAAGAAAATATAGAGCATCGTGATTGTGTTTATTGTCATTGTTAGTTGAAGTTACATGTGAACCTCATTATTTGTTTTCAGCAAAGATTCTTACCCACTAGACCTCATCACCATCACTCTATGAGTTACATTTCTAAAACTGAACATATCACTTGCTCTCCTGATGGTACTTTATCTCACTTTGTACAACTACTCTCATCAGTGACCTTGCTTCCTACTTCACTGAGAAAACGCTCCATCCAAGAGGACTTGCACAGACAGGCTCCCCGTGCATCTACCCCCGTAAGGGCACCTGTGCGCACCGCCCCGCCCCTCCCCTTGTTATGAGTAAACTGTGCCTCTGCTCCGTGGAAGGCTCTCACCCGTTTGCTAACTTCCGCTCCCTTGACCCTGAAGGATGCTGCTCTAGCACTTCTTCCCTCTCTCCCCTGAATCACCAGTCTTCCTCACACTGGATCCTCCCCATCAGCATGAGAAATGCTGTGATTTCTTCCATCTTAATAAAGAAACTCCCTCTGGTTACCACCCCACTTCTTTGCTTCCCTTTATAGGAAAACTTCACAAAAGACTAGTCTGTACTTGATGTATCAAATTCCTTACTCCAGTCAGAATTTCACAACCACCATGTCAAAATTGTTTTTGTTTTCTGGCTGATGTGGCTTAGTGGTTGAGCATCGACCCATGCACAAAGAGGTCGCCGGTTTGATTCCCGGTCAGGACACATGCCCAGGTTGTGGGCCCGACCCCCAGTGGGGGGCATGCAGGAGGCAGCCAATCAATGTTCTCTCCCATCCATGTTTTTATCTCACTCTCTCTCACTTCTTCTCTCTCTAAAATCAATAAAGGGGAAAAATTTTTTTTTAATTGCTTTTGTTGCTCTGGCCAGGTGGCTTAGTTGATCAGAGTGTCATTCCGCGCTCTATAGGGTCTAAGGTTCAATAGGCACCCCTCAGGCCTTGGGTTTGAGCCCTGGTTGGCACGTACGGGAGTCAGCTGATTGATATTTCTCTCTCTCTCTCTCATCCTCTATCTCAAAATCAATAAAAAAAAATATCTTTAAAAAATTGCTTTGCCAAGGTTACCAATGACCTCCGCTTTGCAAAATTTGATCGTCAATTCTAGGTTCTCATCTTGCCTAACCTATGACAGCATTTGACCTAATTGATGGTTTCCTTCATCTCGAGACATTTTGGCCCTTAGGATAACACACGCTCCTGGTTTCTCTCCCACCTAATCAGTCACACATTCTCTGTCTCCTATGCTGGTTTCTTCTCATCTTCTTATAATTCTTTTCGCATGAGATCCCCTGGAATGAGGATATGACTACATCCAAAATCTATTTTAATGAAGGAAAGATCAGAGTTCTAGTTTCTTCTCACAGGGAGAGATTATATGAAAGACTGTAGTGGGGGGGGGGGGGATGTGGAGAGACGCAGGTTCTCTCTGGGGGGTGAGGAGAAGCAGATGCCAGCGCAGAGATAGTATACAATGGCACTGAAAACATTCTTGTCCCATTTGAGTGTTTTCCAGGCCTGGAACGTGGTCCATGTCGGTAATGGCAATGATAACCATTGGTGGGTGTGAGGGTGGAGGGGGTTAATGCTGTTGTGAATTAGGCACCGAAATGACCATTTTACAGATGACAAACTGAGGATTAAAGATGTCATTTGGTTCACCCAAGTTTATAAGATTAATAAATTGTGGAGTTAGAATTTGTCGTTAGGTGTGTTTGACTCCAAAACCTGTATGATGAACCACAAGACTCTGCTGCCTTAATCAAAGTTTCAGTAAGATTTTACATTTTTCTCCCTGAGTTTTTAGGTGAGGGAGTTAGAGCCAAGGCACTGAACCAGTCCGGAGTGGTTGTGTTTTTGTGTTGATGATGTTGTTGTTTTCTCTTTGCAAGTATAAGGATGCCATAAAGTGCCATCACCTAGCAGCTTAAATAAATCTACACCCAGCATTTGGATTAATCAATACAGGAGTCTGTAGAGATTTTTATCTTAAGTTTTGCCCAAGGTCGTACTCTTTGCCATTTTAGCCCACCAGAGGGCAGACAAGGACTGTCTGGGAGCAGGGCCCTTCCCCTTTGCAGGGTGGTGAAGCCCATAGTGGAGGACTGACTAGTCAATGTCAAGTAAGCTCCTAGAGGACAGCATGGGATTAGCAAAAACTCTTCATTTGAGTTCTGGTTCCAACACTGTTAGCTGTAGGGTCCCTTCTCTGAGACCCAGTTACCCAATCTGTAATATGAGAAGGGGTTAAAGTAGACTTTGAAAAGCTTTAAAAAATACAGATGCTGCGTCCACCTCCAAGACTAGTGATTTAATTAGTCTAAGATGACGCCTGATCATCTGAAGTTTTTGGACATTTTTGCATTTGTCTTCAGATAGAGCGGGAGGGAAAGAGGGAGGAAGAGAGAGAAAGAAACAGCGACGAGAGAGAAACATCGACATGAGAGAGACACATCAAGTGGCTGCCATCCACACGACCCCAACCAGGGCCGAGGACAAACAGCAACTGAGGTACGTGCCCTTAGCGGGAACCGAACCTGGGACTCTCTGGTCCATGAGCCGACACTCTAACTGCTGAGCCAAACCGGCCAGGGCCATCTGAATATTTTAAAAGTTCTCCAGGTGATTCTGATGGTTAGCCAGTGTTGAGGACTACCAGTCCAGGGCAGCACTTGGTTTGAATCTCAGAAAAACCACTTTCTAAGTAGCTACATATGAACTTGGGCCAGTTACTTCACTTCTCTGAGCCAGTTTACCTGTAAAGACACCTCACAATGTCCACATTGTAGGGGTGTTGTAGGATTAGGACTACCAAATCTAAAACACCTAGCTATAGTAAAGAGTGACATATTAATACACCTCATGAGGGAAAATAACCAAATGACATAATTTAGTCAACAAATACTCAAGGGTGCCTGTAATGTCTAGACACTGTGCTAGGTTCTGAATTCTTCTACAATCCTGCTTCAGGAAAAGCTTAATAATCTCTCTAGATAGGTAGTCTACTACTTGCTGTTTTATGGAGGGTTTCGGTTGGGGTTTATTTGGGGGTAGGACGGAGCCTTGTAGACTGCACCAATCAGCGTCCCCTGAGCTGGCCGGCAGCCCCTCGGTGGGAACAGTAACAGAAGTGAGAGCACTGGAAGGAGGTGAACGTGTCCTCCAGCCCGGATCTTGTTAGGCAGGAGGCTAGGGATGCTAACCTTACATTCCACGAGATGGTGACGTTAAAAGGCGTTTGGGGTGTTTTCTAAAAACAAAAACAAAAAACCATGCATTACTCTGACCTAGCGGAAGGGAAGAAGAGAGGACGAAGAATACGGACAGTTCAGTAGAGGACAAGAAAACAGAAGAGGTGACCAAAGAAAGGAATGTGGTAACTGGAAACACCAAATAAGACAGGACATATACCTTCAACAATATAATTAATCTTAAAGAAAAAAATAAGTTTACTTATTACTGAAGATGGTGAAATTGAATCTAAAAAAAAAACAAATTTAGCACTGGCCTGTTTGTCTCAGTGGTTGGAGCGTCGGCCTGCAGTCCAGAGAGACCCAGGTTAGTTCCCGCTAAGGGCATGTACCTCGGTTGCAGTTTGCCCTTGGCCCTGGTTGGGTCGTGCAGGTGGCAGCCACTCGATGTGTCCCTTTCACGTGGATGTTTCTCTCTCTCTCTCTCTCTCTCTCCCTCCCACTCTATCTGAACAAAAAATGAAAAAATGTCCTCAGGTGAGAATAAAGAAATAAAACAAAGTTAGTTACAGCCCTAGATGGTTTGCTCAGTGGTTAGAGCATTGGCCCAAAGGACCAAAGGCGTGAGAGCTTGGTTCCTGGTCAAGGGTTCAAGGGCCTGGGTTGCAGGTTTGATACCCGGCCCTGATCAAGGTTGTGCAGGAGGCAACAAATCTATGTTTCTCTTGCTCTCTCTTTCTTTCACTCTATTTAAAAATCAGTGGAAAAATATCAAGTAAGTATTAACAACAACAAAAATCTAGTTACATATTGAATATGAGGTATATCTAAAATGAAACAACATAGAAAGTTTTAAAATAAAAAAATAGGAAGAGATATACTTTGAAATGATAGTCAAAATAAAGCGAAATAGCAATATGGATATCAAAACAGAATTCAGGGCTAAAAGTAGGGATATTACATATTTATAAAAGTAGCAAAATGAAAAGTCCAAGAAGATACAATTATGTACGAGTAGGCATGAATAAGTGTAACTGAAATGCAAAAATAAAACTGAAAAAATTACAGAGAATTTCTTTAATTCACAATTAAATGAAGAGACTTTAACATATGTCTCTAAAAGAACTAATCAAAAAGACAAAATAGGAATTACATAGATTATTCGAAAAAACAGCAAATATGATTTAATAATAGGCACAAAGCAAGACTGTACAAATTTCAAATAATTGATATCATCAGTACATTTATGGACACGGCTCTGTTTGTGGCTTTAAAGAAAATCACATTGGAAAATTTTTTAATCAGAAAAGACCACTACATAATAAAAAATGCAGGGTAAAGTTAGACTGACATTTACAAGGACATTTGCAGCTTACACGTGCATAGTAGATACAAGACTGGAAATTATTTAAGGAAGCATTTAACTGAAAGAACCTGAAGAACAGAGAAAAAACCCCCAAAGAATTAGAAAATAAAGGTAAAAGCATATATTAATTTAAAAATAGGGATTCCAAAATGGTGGTGGAGTGAATTGAAGCTACACAGACCGTTTCCCAGGACCAAACTGGAATTACAACTAAAATAAAGACAAATCATCGGGAGAAAGCAACCAAAAAGCAACTTGGGAAGATCATATAACCAGGGACACTGACTTGATCCTGGTAGGATTGCAAAGGCGCAAGAGGGGGGCTGGGAGCCCACAGACAGCAGCGGCCTTAGCTGTGAGCAGCGCCCTCGAGTTAAACTCCCAAGCGGCTCAACAGCGCAGAGCCAGGACAGAGGCTAAAATAGCCACAGCCACTCA